GCCTTCTCGGAAGCCTTATCTTTAGCCTCTCCGGCCTTCTCGGAAGCCTTATCTTTAGCCTCTCCGGCCTTCTCGGAAGCCTTATCTTTAGCCTCGCCAGCCTTCTCAGAAGCCATGTCTTTAGCAGAGTTGTATGCATCTTTTGCTTTATCCTTACCCTCCAACACCACTCCTTCCACAGTCTCTTTGATATTGTCTGTGGGCATTCGAATGACTTGATCGGTTTTATCAGAGGCATATGCATAGGCATCAGATGCCTTGTCATTCACCGTTTCTTTGGCTTTATTGGCCATGCCTGAACCTATGTTCATGGCTCGACCAGCCCCCTCAGATACAGCATCATAAGCATCATTTCCTTTCTCTTCTGCTGTCTGCCCAGCACCACCAGCCAAATTTTGAACCGTCTTCAGGGCTTCGCGTGCTAGTTCAGAGATGTAGGCATATGCTCTCATTCCAGTATCTTCAGCATCACCAGCACTATCATAGGTATCGGCAGCCTTGTTCTTCATTGCCTCCTTTGCATCACCAGCCATGTCCATGGCTTGACCTGCCTTCTCAGATGCCAAGTTTCCGACCTCACCAGCCTTCTCAGAAACATACTTTGAAGATTCTGCAAGAAAATGGGCTTAATTACACGATGAGCGTACTACTTCGATGAAGCAGCAGATATATATATATATGTGTGTATATGTATGTATATATGTATTTGCGTGTTGCATGTACGTTTATGTATATATGCATATACATACTTTCATAAATTTCCTAATTATAACATTGTACTTTCATTTTTCGTATTACAGCAATGTACTTTCAAATCATTTTCTATTAAGGCATCATACTTTGAAAAACCTACCTATTATAGCAGTGGATAACCTCTCACCTTTTTAACAAGTTAACCCCTTACTTTTCTTTGTTTCCTTGGCTTAAATGAGATGACATGACTTAAAAAAAAAAACCTCTTAATAAGTTATTTTTAATAACTTTCACTTTTCATTGCTACAATTTAAAAAAACATTTTTTAACATTTTCTTATTAAATTGCATGTAAATTAAATATTTTAGAGCAAAATATTTCTTAAATAAATATAATGTATTATTTCAAGATAACTATTTTATTTGTAAAAAATGTAGCACTTCTTATTTTATTTTGTTCAAAAAATTCTTCTGAGCTTTTTTTAAATGATATAGAGATAAATTGTGTTCTACAAGTTGTTTAATATTGTTATATATATATATATATATATATATTGATGAATAATTCAAAAAAACCTAACTAATTTAATATATTTATATGTCAATTAATTTCTTTTAAACAAATATGATATATTCTTTAGAAGATAAATATTTTTTGGTAAAAAAATGTAACAATTTTTATTCTTTTTAAAAAAAAAAGATATTTTTTTTAAAATGTTAGCAAGGTAATTGTGTTTTACTAGTTTTCTTAATGTTTGTATATTAATAAATAATTTAGAAAATTTCTAATTTATTTAATATATTTTTTGAATAGTATGTGAAATCAAATTTTTTTTTTTCAAAATATAATGTTGTAATAAGAAATGTCATGTCAACAAAATTTTACACGTGAACATATCACGTGGACAATGACATGACATGAAAAACTGGTAACTTGTGACATGTCATCTTAATTCAAATCAAAAGGTTACCCATTGGTATAATATCGTTGGGAGACTAATTTTTTTTATTAAAAGTTATGATTAGAAACATATACTAAATTTAGGTAAATATGTTTGATTAAATAAACAATGTCTAAATGATAAAATATAGAAACTAAAGTACAATATTGTAATAGGTACTGGTGATGCTATAATAAAAATAATTTTGAAAGTACAAGGATGTATAGGAAATGTCACGTCAGCGGTATAGTACATGTGTGCAACCTACATGGACAGTGAGGTAGCATGGAGACATGGTATAATGAGTAAATTTAAATTAAAAGGTTACCTATTTCTATAATATGTAAAAAAATTTAGAGTACAATGTCCTAATAAAAACTAATTTGAAAGGGCATTGCTGCAATAAGGAAACTTATGAAAGTAGGTTGCTATTTCTTCCATTTTGCCCTAAATATTACCACGAATTCATTAAAGATGTGCTTCTTGATAGCAACATCACCGCGATTAACAATGAGAATACCACTCCGCGAAAAAAGATACATGCATGACATGTATCTGCAGATGTATGCATGAACGTGTATGCATAGTAGTAAACATAATTACCAGAAGCAGCAGAATTCATTGCAGATGTGCTGCTTGATGCAGCTTCGCCAGCTTTATCCACCGCACTTTGAGCAGCCCCTTTCATGTCATCCTGGTTCAAACCGAGACCCCTAAAACATTTCCAAACATTAGTTAATTGGACATGCAACTACTGGAATTGGACATAGGAAAACCAGAAGATGGTCAAAGTAGTGATACTGAAACAATGGAGACCAAAGGGGGGAATTTTATTTCTCCCTAGAGTCCATCGGCAAATGTTTCTCAGGGTTCTTTTTTCTTATTTTCCCTTCATATGCATTGGAATGCAGTTGATTCATCAATGGAAGTCAGAATCTGCTTAGGTTTTTTAAGCTCCTAATAAAATAATGTCAGATCCCAGTATTCAAGGAACTACTCATTTCATTTAACAAAAGGAACAAGAAATAAAAAGCCATTTTTTTTATTAACCTGGATATCCAACCCGCTATTCGAGCCGACTAATCTCAGGGCAACCATCTGCTTTGCGGTAGGCCAGAGTCACCGCATTTGAACTTCCATGGCCACAAGGGGATTTTTATTCCTCCTTGGATTTGAACCTGAGACCTCCCGACACTTTTGACTTTTGGAGCCAAGCTCAAACCAATCAGGCACCACCCTTGTGGTTAAAATAAGTTATTTGCTACCATGAGGATACCAATTTGTTCGACATCTAAAAGGTCAAAAGATGACACCTAATGCAGAATCGAGGGAGTGGATGGGGATTATAGTTCCATCAACTACACATAGAGTTTCCTGCAATTAAGGATAATGCTTAGCCAACATAGCTAGTGGAAGCATTAATACACAGAATTGTCTATCATTCCCTGCTTCGTGTTCCCAGCCTCTAAGTTACTATTAAGTTCAATAAAGAGCAAGACAGACCGATATCCATGTTAGTTTTAACATCCTTAAGACAACATAAGTATAAAGCGGAACAATCTTAAATATCGACAAAGAAGAACTCTACAGGTAGTAAAGATAATTTGCACAACCTTGGATAACAACATTCTGAAGCATGTTCCTAAATGATATCAAGATGAATTGAAAAACAAAAAAGAAAGCTAGGCTAATTCATTTCACATCTTAATCACTAGCGTTTGATAAGTTCATACTGTAAAAATATGTGGGGCCCCTTTAGATTACTCTCTAAAAGAGTGTCATTAAGGGTAGAAGAGATGTTCCAATATATATGAAAAGAAGTGGTTCAACTCTACCCGATGTGGGACTCTAACATGCCCCCTCCAGAGGAGGCTAGACAAGCACATATTGTCCCAAAGTGTCTAGAGGGGGATAGACAGGTACAATTGGAGTCTCACATCTAGCTGATGTGGGACTCTCACCCCACCCTACCCTACCCTACCCTACCCTACCCTACCCTACCCTACCCTAACAAAGGCTAGACGAGCACATATCGTCCCAAAGTGTCAAGAGGGGGCTAGACCGGTACAGATTGCCCTAGAGTGGTAAATATTGGTTCTGATACTATGTGAAAAAATGTAGAACCCCATCAAATTACCATCCAAAAGAGCCTTTAAGTAGAGAAATGAGGTTCCAACACTCGATGTGGGACTCTTAACATGTATAGAAAAGAACTTTGCTAAAATAGGCCAGTAAGCATACCCATTGTGTACTAATCCCTTGGCTGCATGTGATCCATCCTCATGAACCACTTCAATGTTACTATAATTAATTCAAGAGTACCTCCTACAAAAATGCCAAATATGTGGACTTACACCTTGGGATGCCAAATAATTTATCCTCACCACATACTGTTCACGGTACTTTATTAGAAATTATCCTAATATAACTTCAAAATGAACTCATAAATCATCGTTGTACAACTTCCATCATCGTCAGTTTCGGAGAACCAAAGGCATAAACTCTATACTGCTATCCAAGGTTCTCCTGCGAAGAAATCCGATGCAAACACAATAGTAATGTTATATCCTCCTAAATTTACTACTAAAAGTTCTCCTAATTGACCTTTCGCAAAATCTTAAACGATGAGGACTTTTGCCAAGCGTTCCAGGTTAGAAAAACAAAACATTACTTAATATAATAAAGCGATGATCAAAAAGCACTAAGCATTAAGTCGAGTCCTTAATCATATAATTAAGGATGAAGCAAGTACCCAACTGGATGTCGAACATAATTTTAATGCTATACTATTATGGTATTCCATTGATATAATTACCATGAAAGCATCATAAAATTTGAGAAAGTTCAAATGATAGACCACAAGTAGACTAGGAAAAAGGTTGGACGAGTAAATTTGAGATTTCATCACAATTCCACGTATTAGTGGACTTATCGGTCGAAAAGAAGGCCACAACTTTGATTCCCGATGTCAAGCTTTTTTCTATGGGGGTGATAACCAAGAAATAACCTGATCTACACTTAGTCTGATACGGACGTGTCAATAGTTTTACATCCTCAAAGTAATTATATTGCAAAAGATCAAGAGGCCGTTTACCTAAATGCTTACCTGGAGGAGTCAACACTACAATTTATTTTATGGGGTAAGATTGTAGTACATCAAAGATGCAACAATTTACCCGGGTAAGAGTCGTCACCCTCACTTATCTTGTAAGACTCTCCATCTTTATCATTGCTCTTACCAGGTAAGATTTTTTACCCTTGCCATGTCCATCAGGGAAGGAAAATTACCCGGTAAGCACTTACCGGGTAAGCGTTTAGTAAACGGCCTCTAAGGCTCATTTCAATCTAGCGAATTTAACTAACCCAACAACCGGCCACTTAAAGAGTCACCAACTAAGTTGCGCAATGGAGAACGCTTAAACCTAGGCAATTAAGGCCTTAAAAATGGTATTTTCAACCATAATAGTGGTGCCCGATTGGTTTGAATTTGGGCTCAAAAGTCAAAAGTGTATGTAGGTCCCAGGTTTGAACCCAAGAAGAAATAAAAATCCCCTTATGGCCATGGAGCTTCAAATGTTGTGACTCCAGACTATCCGCAAAGCGGGTGGTCCCACTGAGATTAGTGGGCTGGCATAACGGGTTGGATATCCAGGTTAATAAAAGAAATGTATTTTCAAAACATTGATTAAAATAACCAGAGGGACAAAAGAAGCCTAAAGAACTTGGAATATCTTCTGTCTTTTACGATTTACATCTCAAGTACGGGGAACTAATCTATCACCATTCCTAACTCTAATCTAAATCGTTGTTTAGCAGTTCATCAGAAATATTATACCTAATTGCATCCACGAACATGGAACCGAAGTTTGTCAGCTAGCTTACTATCATCATGTTTTTCAATCTAAATCTAAAGAGTATCATATCAATCATAATCTCCAATCGCTGATCTGGAAAGGGGCATTCATAAATATAAATGTTCAATTCAAGCAACCAACCCTAGCATAGCATGATGATTGAATAACTAACACGATGATCTACGGAAAAAATGATAAAAAATTACTTACTCCGCAACGTTGGTTATGGCACCTTCGGCATTCATTTTCATATTCCCTGCCGCATCCCTCGCCATTGCTTTTACGTCCCCGACGCCACTCTCCACCCCGCCATAACTCCGGCACACCGTCGCACTTGCCGTTAGCCATAACACCATCAGAACCACTGACTTCCCCATTTTTCGCGTCACAAACAGCAACCGGAAGAATTTTTTTGATAGAATAATTAGAAGTTAAGAGAAACCGGAAGTATTATGGGAAAATTTGTTGAAATTTTGGTGAAGGAGCAACAATGGAGGATGTGGCGGTAAAGGCGGTGAGGGACGGTGTACCGACGATATTTGGCAACGTGGCAACTTCCACTGGTTTTCGTATTTCCGGTTGTGCTACCTTCCTGCCACGTCTCTCTCTCTCTCACACACAGTCATAGTTTCTCTCACACACACTTAGTTTGGATACTGCACCTTTGCGGCAATTGCAAAAAGTGTAAAAACTTTAACGATTTAGTCCCTGTACTATGTGTGTTTTATGGAATTTGTCCTTAGACTTTATTTATTACATAATTATTTGATGATTTGTAATTTTTTTACGGATTTGGTCATTTGCTCTAACGGACATTCACCTTATCTGTTAACTACGAGGTTATTTTGGTTCTTTTACCAGTTTCATCCATTCTTTTTGTTTTATTAGGTTGAATGATCTGCTTTGCATAAACGATGAAAAACGTTAACAAATTCTCGTTAGTACATCTAGTAGTCTTTATGCATAAAACATGTATGTAATGTTTATTAGATAAGCAACGTTATTTTAATATGTTCAAAAATAAATATGACTATCACTGTAATACTCAGGAATTTAGTGGTTTTAATCAAATGATATGAGTAAATATATACTTTATAATTGAAGATTAGTTTTTAATTAATGGGGATGAATGGGTACAAACCTCTAATTAGGGGTGCTCATGTGTTGAGTTGATTGGGTTTAAGGTATTTGAATAACTCAATCTAATATTAACGGTTTGAAAAATCTCAACTCACCTAACCCATACGGGTTGATCGGTTTGATACTTTGGTACATCAAAATATTCTTTAAGCTTGAATATGCTTTCTCTTCCCACAATTCCTTTGACTTTGTTTCAAGAACAAAAACAAAAGATTTAAGGAAACACATGATGTAAATAACTGAAATTGAAAACAAAGACAACAGATTGAAGGAAATGAACCTAGGGAAATTCAGAGTTGTAAGTCTAAATTTAACTCTGGAGTAGTCATCAAAATCAGGTTTAAAATTTCAAATTCGAATTTTTGAAACATTTTTTACAAAGCAATATTACCCTAAAAATCTAGAGTTATAAGAAAACAAAGCAATTTTTGAAGCAATATTTCAGCTCGATCCCAGCCAGGGGTTCTGCCCCTTGCACCCCGCCACCGGGGGCGCTGCCCCCGGACCCCTGTCATTTAGGGGCTTCCCCCCTAAATTAAAATAAACTAAAACAAGCGTGCACTCCGCACCTTCCTTACCTGTTCAATATTTATCATGATTACATTGGTCAACAATTTAATTTCATTACACTTAAATGACATTAGTGATACAAATCATCAACATGAAGTCATCAGATATTGTTTATTTCTCAGACTTACAACATAACTCTGAATTCCTCTTATTTAAAGTTAAGTCCAGAGTTATTTTTCAGCCTAACAATAGAATTCTGAATTTTTGTGTTCCAGAGTTAATGTTCAGAGTTTTCTTTCAGAGTTAATGTCCAGAGTTGAATGGTTTGATGCAGAATGATTAAGTGGTCAGAATGATTAAGAAGCTCTTATGATATAGTGCAAAATAAAATCTAATTATTCGGTAATTGTTTATAATGGAATTAGAGTGTTGAATGGTTAAGGGAGACCCAGAATACAAAATCATTCAGAGGGCTTTAGAACCATTAAGAGGTAAAAAATTTTTTTGCCAAACAAGATTCACCTCTTAATGATTCAGAGACTGCCTCTTAATGTAACTATTAAGAAGCATCATCTGAATCCTTAAGAGGTGAATATTGTTTGACAAAAAAAATCTACCCCTTAATGATTCTAAAACCTTCTGCATGCTTTTGTATCATGTGTCTCCCTTAATCATTCAGCGCCCTGATTCTATTGTATATAACAATTATATTTAATTTTATATTATATCATGAGAGACTCTTAATCATTTTGATTACTTAATTATTCAGCATCAAACCATCCAGCAACTACCAAATAACCCCTAAGTATTTAGTTTGTTAGAATAAATTTTACATAGAATTACCTAAACAAATCATTTTATGTGAATTAATTAGTTATTTTAATAATTAATTAATTCCTTTTGAACCATACTCATTTGTGACGTTAACCTTCTATTTGAAAAATAGATTAATTATTTTATTTATCTCAAATTTAGTGGGTTTTCGGGATTTGCTTATTTGAAACAACTTATATTTTTCTACAAAAGTCCTTATTAACTTATCATAAGTTATAATGGTTTAACTTCTTCAAAAACTTTATATTACCGGTTTGGCACTGGTATATGCTGTTTATCCAAACAGTAAAAAATGTTTATTATCGGTGTCACATCGGAATAAGTCAACAAGTTATTTTTATAAGCAATTCCAGACACCCCCTTGGATTATTGTTAGTATCGTCTTTTTTCTAAAAATGATTTATTCGATGTAAAAGGTTTATAAAACTATTTTTTGAACCATAGATTTAGGTATAAGAGATCGTTTTCTTTAAACAAGCGTCAGTCGTAAATAAAATAATATATTGGAAAATATTTTTAAGTAAAGTCTAGTGGGGCATTAGGTTTTGAGTTGACTCTGAACCAACCAATCGAATAAAACTTTGTAGCAGATTTGAGCGATCATAGTGATCAAATAAGAAGTTCGTTGGCAAGTGTTCTCAATCAAATATTATAAATTGTGTAGGTGCAAGTTAGAGGGGATAAAGAAGCCTACACAAACACCAGGTGAGTTCACTGGATTTGTAAAACAAAGGTGCATGCATAGTATGCAAATATGTTGCAAAAGTTTTATACTCAAATTAATATATATTTGGTAGTATTTTCATTTCCTAAACATGGGTGTTACAATTTAGAGGTTGTTTGGTAGTTGCTGAATGGTTTGGTGCACGATGATTAAGTGGTCAGAAAGATTAAGAGACTCTTGTGATATAGTGCAAAATGAAATACATTTGTTCAGTTATTGTTTACAATGGAATTAGGGTGCTGAATAGTTAAGGGATGTCCATTATACAAAATCATTCAGAGAGTTTTAAAACCATTAAGAGACAAACCTTTTTATTGTCAAACAAGATTCACCTCTTAACGATTCAGAGACTGTCTCTTAATGCAACTATTAAGAGGTAAACAAACAGTCCCTTACTTTATGTATTATATTTAATTTTTGTTCATATTTTTTTAGATTAAAATTGTTAAATTTAATATGGTGGATGAGTTGAGTAAAATTCTTAACTAAGATTTCAACAATAATTATTCGGAGAATCGTATGAAGACATTTGGCTCGGTTCTATGACATTTTTCACGGTGTTTCATTAAGTGGTTTTGCTTGGAATTATGAGACGAAGTTATTTGAGGCAGAAGAGGAGGTTTAGGAAGCAATGATAACTGTATATGTTTTTGATAATGTAATCACGTTAATATATGTTTTGATTTTATTTGATTAAGCTTTCCTTGTATATAGGACTTGTGTATATCTGTATCCTTATTCTCCTCTTGTGATTCTTATATATGTATATATAGACTTGGGATCATGTGAAACCAAGAGTTTTTCGTGAGACCCGTAAGACCAATTCTCAACCCTTGGATTAAATCTACAATCTGAACATTCATAATCACAAAATTGTCACAAGACTTCTCAATAATCACAAAATTGTCACCGTGCAACTTTAGGCCATTAGATCATTAGCTTATAAAGTTGATCAATGAACATAAATTGGTCTTACGGGTCTCACGAAAAACCCTTGGTCTCACATGAACCCAACCCTATATGTATATCATTTTTGTCAGAGACCATAACTGCGGCAAATCCTATATTGGTCTCACATGGTATCAGCCTAAAAACACCTACCCTAATTTCTTCTTTTCCAGCATATGCATATTCTCCTTCATTTGTCGCCATGATAGAAACTTGTTCCTCATCCACATTTGATGTTATCTCGTTTTCCACTCTCATTCACCTGATCACGGAAAAGCTCCCTCTTGCCAGTATTTTCATCGGTTACATTTTTACTCATGATTAATTATTGCGTAGTAATCATGCAAATTAAACTTAATGCAAAAAATATGGACAAAACATGAATATAAATACATAATATAAATAAATCCAAACATTAATCATCATATAAAACTAGACATTACTTTCGTTGTTTAGGTACAACGAGTAATCACTCCACATTTCGTTTGCAATTGAACTTCTAATTTGTTCTCCTATGTCATCTATGTCTCTTGGAGCATGCGTTTCTTCTTCTTGTGTTGCATTTAATACCTCGTACGACATTTCTTCTTCAAGTTATTTGTCACGATCTTCGTCAAGTAAAAAATTATGTAAGATGCAACATGCTAGAAATATGTCTGATTGTGTTTCCACACGAGTAAAATGGGTCGATCGTACTTCTAATTATAGGAAATCTTTTCTTCAAAACACCAAAGGCTCGTTCACTAGCATTTCGTAATGATGCATCCTGAAGGTTAAACAATTGTCGTGAATTTATGAGGTGTTACGGGATGAATGTTCCTTAAATTGATATCTAACATCTCTCTACTGTGCAATGAGCGAACTTCTATAGGATAGACCAGCATCAACCAAATAGTATTTATTTATAAATAAAATAAATTTAGTATAATAATATAAGATTAATTATATAACCAACTTTTGATTTAAGATTTTACCTTTGGGAATGAGTAACTTGTCATTTCTAGTGAGTGTATTTTTATGCCTTCTCAACCACTCAAAATGCATGTGAACTTTAAATCAAATGTACATATTTATTGTTGGATATCCCTTACGATCACGATATCTTGAGGCGTCTTTACTTGGTACTCTTACACGGACATGTGTTCCATCAATTGCCCCTACACAATTCTTTGAAAAATGGATAAAATCTTTTTTATTCTTTAATTCTATTTGGAACATATCACTGGTTGGTTGCTGATGCGTCTAGCCATTGTTTCTCTAAAACACTAAGGGTGCGTTTAGTTTGCAGGAATGTTTATGAGGGATTTGAATTCCATGGGATTTGGATTGGATTTAAAATCCATTCCTGTGTTTGGTTTGCAGGATTTGGATTGGATTTGAAATGAAGCGGGAGGAAGCGATGGGAGGGAAGTGAGGTGAAGTGAAGCGGGAGGAAGCGAAGGGAGAAAGCGCCTAGGATTTGGATCTCAAATCCCACCCCTTTGCAAAGGATTTCCAAATCCCATGTTTAATGGATTTTAATGAAATCATGGGATTTCAAATCCTGACAATTTGGCAAACCAAACATAGGATTTGAATGAATTTTAAATCCAAATCCCCCCAATTCCATTCCATTCCTGCAAACCAAACGCACCCTAAGAGGGTGTTTGGTTCATGGAATTTGGTGGAATTGGAATATTCAAATCTTTGACCAAATTTCAAATACCATGTTTGGTTCACATAATAGATGTGAATGAATCTTTTCAATTCCAACAAATTCCTTATGTCATTGATTTCACAATTCCACCATATATACCACAGATTTCAAATTCCAATCCGACAAATTCTTTAGCCCTCATCCAAATTCATTGACGCTGTATCCCGATTTGCTCTGCTCTGCTCTACTATGCTCGATCTCCTTTGCTCGATCTCGTTTAAAACTAATAATGACAACGGACCAGGTTCGGGCCGGTTATTGGTTCAAAAAAAATATTTAGGGATTTAATCGTTCAAAATATGAAAGTCTATTGGTTTTTTCTAGATTTTTTTATTATTTTACTACATTAACAAGTTGTATAAGTCATAAGATTGTATCTAACATGTTTTAAAAAGTCCAAAAAGTTATTTAACAGATTTTGAAATGCTCAATTACTTATTTGTTTCAAAAAATTGTTCAAAATACTTAATCATTCCAAATACTAAAACTTATTAATTTTATTTTTATTTTTGGAATTTTCCCTTTTAACAAACACAAAACTCATACATCAAATTTTGGCAAGTTTTTTTTTACGAGGAACTCGGTAGTCTTCTTTTGCAAGAAAAGCTCCTTAACCGAAACCCTGTTAAATTACCAAAATCTCCCTCGTTCATGTCCCGTTGCTCAAATTCATCTGAGGGTTTCTTAAAACCCTAAACGTGAAAAAAGGGGGTTTATGCTCTTCCCCTGAATCTTTAACCCTTAATTGATTTGCAGATAGGTTTATAGGGTCGAAAGTCCGTCAATGGCGGCTTCCAGGTTTGCATCTTTGGCTGCTATGGCAGCTGTTGCGGCCGCATCAACCACCACTTGTTCCTATGCCGACGCTCCGTCATTTCGTTTCAATCCGTTTGCTCAATCTCCGGCTCCATCGCAGTCGCCTCAACTGGCGTCGGAACCTACAAACGCGGAACCTAAGCCAGAGGTTGAGGATTCGAAAGGCGGTTTTGATCCTGAAGCTCTAGAAAGGGGGGCTAAAGCACTCAGAGAAATCAATAGTTCTCCCTATTCTAAACAGGTGAATGTACTTGAAATTTTTTGTTGTAATTAACAATCACTATTTAGCTCTGGGTGCAAGTACTGTCTATCTGCTAACTAAATTACATAGGCAGTTGAGACCGTTGTTGTATGTGTTTCCAATATCAGAATTCGTTTGCGGACTAATGCTTTGAGCATAAGCAGATTTTAAGATGATATCGGATTGGTTGGAAAAAGATAAGAAATTCTACATTTTCGGTAATATAACATATCTATATGACCATTTCTATGTGAAAATGATCTTAAGAATTGCTCTGCTTTTATATGGGAAGAGGCCTGTGACAGTTGCCAGGGATCGGACTTACCTGGCTAAAAGCATGAACCTTGTCTTTACAAGAATTGAGTTTTGCGAGTGTGAAGTTGAAGCACTAAATTGTAGCTTTAAATTGAAGCAAAACGGTTGTTTTTACGGTGGGTTACATGAAAAAAAGTCACAATTTATTTATAAATTCTTGTGTGCATGTTTTGTTTCTGAAATGCTCATAAGCAGACAGACAAATGCTGAATATATGTGTGTAACAACTTCATATACTTCCATGGAAACTTTTTGTCCAGCCAAATGCATGGGTTGCTCAGAGGTAATTTTGTTTATTATTGCTAGGTATTTGAGGTAATGAGAAAGCAAGAGCAGGGCCGTCTTACTGAATTGGCAGCGGAGAAGGCTCATCAGGAAGCTATTCAGGCTCAACTTGATATCGTGAGTGATAATTTACGTCAATCTTTATATTGATTTCCGACTGTTTGTGTTTCTTGGATTTGGATTACACATTATCTGTGTTTTAAGTAAATTATCTACTTGGGTGATGTGAATGGTGTGGGCGATGATGGTGATGGAGCTGTTTATGAGTTGTCTTACCTTCCAAATTGAATGATGGCGACTATCAAATGTAGATCATATAGCTGTTTACATTTATTAATATAGCAGGTTATGTAACTATATATTAAGAATTAAGCAACATAAATTTTAGCAAATGAATCTCTGAAATGATCCAGCACCGGTCATGCTAAACAACTCTTAGCACCGAACAAGTTCTAGTGCTAGCAAGTACACTCAGTGTCAAACATCCAATTATTTTCTTTGTTCTTCTGGGGACTGGGGGATTAATTCTTCACAATTTAATTGAAAGATCTAGTTGAAGTTTCAGTTTTTATTCCTTATCTACCTCATATTTGTAAGTGAGAGGCAGACAACAAAATACAGAATAGAAGACACATTAGAGGAAAAAGAAGAGACATTAAACTCTACAGTTTGGAGAAAGGATTGATGATTCATCCTTGATTGTTGAACCATTAATTGCACTTACAAATAACTAGAAGTTTAAAGTTTTGAGATTCTGAATAATCTGTACATGACTACCTCAATTTGATCCCACACCTATGTGGATGTCACCTGTATCCTTTGATATATTTTCATGTTTTATGGCCTATGCTTTCAAATAATTTTGTTCATATGCACAGGAAAGACAGCGAAAACTTGCCGAAGATCAAAGGAATTTAGTTCAACAACAATCACAAGCTAAGGCCCAGATGTTGCGATATGAAGATGAATTGGCTAGGAAAAGGATGCAGGTTTGAGGATCTTCTCTTCCCACTCTATAAAGTTTCTCCACTTAGGAATTGGAATTGAGATTGGCTGGTTAAAAGTGATTGCAGACCACCTTGCCATCAGAGTGGAATGAAATCAAACCACTTCAATTGTTAGGTTGACAATCTTATAGCTAGTTTTACTTTGAAAACATTTTCACAACGTGATTTGTGTACACAACATCTAATTCTTTCACAAGTTGAAAAATATAGAGCTAGTTCAGTTAGTTATTTGTAGCATCCTTCAATATCTGCAAATACTATATTATTGAATGATGGATTGATTTTTTCATTTCAATACTATTTGTAGACAGATAATGAAGCCCAAAGACAACACAATGCTGAATTAGCGAGGATGCAAGAGGAGTCTTCTATACGGAAAGAACAAGCAAGGCGAGCAACTGAAGAGCAGATTCAAGCTCAACAAAGGCAGACGGAAAAAGAGAGAGCTGAGATAGAACGTGAAACCATTAGAGTTAAGGCCATGGCTGAAGCGGAAGGCCGTGCCCATGAAGCAAAACTAACCGAGGACCACAACAGGAGGATGCTTGTAGAACGAGTAAATGGTGAGAAGGAAAAGTGGCTTGCTGCAATCAACACAACTTTTGGTCACATTGAAGGTAAAGAAAAGATAATGCTTGAAATAATTGTTACGGACAATGACTAAGACAGCAGTGATTACGTGTAACTTTTTTTTCCATTCGCAGTGCTCTTAGGCTATGTTTTAGCATATACTCAGAAAAGTTACCAGACTGTACCTCATTTAGTTGTGTATATCACTAGTGCAAAGTTATCTGGAGATTAGTACATTTAATCATCTTTAATCCACACTTGGAATTAGAGCAAGTTAGTAAAACAGTCTCTTTTCAAATGGCACATGCTATCATCATTTTAGTCATCACAGACATCAACATGAAACTTTGAGCAGCCCGCTCTTTTAAAAAAAGTGAGTTGGCCATTTGCTTGTAACTTCTGCCTGTCATGCTTTATTGCATATTTTGAAAACGGGTCAACTGTGAGTGCTGATGTAGGGGGGGAGATTTATTTGGTGGCCTGATGGCTATAGAAGGTCGTATGATCTATTCTGAAATGGGTTCAAGTAGCGAACAACTTAAGATAGTTGACATTTGCTCTTTCTTTTTTTGGAAATTTAGTAAGTTATGTGCTGGTGCTAGACTGCTAGTGAAATTCCATGTGCTACCAGAGTGGGAATGACAACCATATGACAAGCATGTTACAAGACAGTAGGCCAAGTGTGTGACATAAGGTGTATCAAATAAGACATCACCACCATTAGATCACTATATGTTCGCTTTGTTTCCTTTTTCTTCTGTTTAGCCAGTCAAATGAGAAGTAGTTCTCATATCTCTGAATAATTGCTTTTCTGTTTTTTAGGTGGCGTCAGGATGTTGTTAACAGATAGAAGCAAACTAGTAATGACCGTTGGAGGAGTTACCGCCTTAGCTGCAGGAGTTTATACAACCAGGTCTACTATCCCCGTCTTCAAACTCACTTTATTTGATTAATGCTTTAGTTGCCTGTTGCCATTAGTTAAGTAGAAATTGGCATTACTATCAGCCACTGTCCTTAAGGTTTGATGAGAGAAAATGTACTTTCCATGTGGCCTTACGTTCTAAAACTGATAAATAAACAAGGGTACTTTTCACCTCTTAAGAGTACACTCACATGCAAACAGTGCAGGCATACTGAACACATCTGTAAATAGAGTCTGTTAAAATTTTATTTTCTAAGAATTCATCTGTCAATAAGTATCTGTATCAATTTGATTTCGAGCCCTTCTCCAAAATAAATTTAATCTTAAAAGAATGGCATGTGTAGTGGTTGATCTCCACTAGCGTATAGTTTGTAACACAGATGGTCTACTGAGGGATGACCTTTACTTGATCAACAAAATATAGAGTTAGCTTGTTTGCATACAGTTACAAGGCTTGATGAAGATGCTGACAAATATGATTGTTACACACTTATACTTCACTGCATGTTTTCAGGGAAGGTGCCAGAGTTATGTGGGGGTATGTAAATCGTATTCTTGGACAACCATCACTGATTCGAGAATCATCCATGGCAAAATTCCCATGGTCGGGGATAGTAACTCGTGGAACACAAAAACTCCGTAATTATACTACTGCAACTGGAAAATCAGTTTCTGTGGAAGATAAAGCTAAATTTGGGAACATTGTACTCCATCCTTCTTTGCAAAGGAGAATAGAGCATCTAGCTCGAGCTACTGCGAATACCAAGTCACATCAGGCACCATTTCGCAACATGCTCTTTTATGGACCTCCTGGCACTGGCAAAACTTTGGTTGCAAGGGAAATAGCTCGAAAATCGGTATGCTGGAGACATTGGTTTCAAACATTTTACTTTTCTCAATTGAATTCAAGACAACCTTCTGGATGCATTATTTTTTTTCAATTTCCCACCGTATCTAGGAATGTATTTTCTGTTTTATCTTCATATAAGCTACTTCCTCCAATTTCCAAAGTAAGTGTTTACTTTCTAATTTTACCCTTAATTATGAGATGGAGAAATTCATTACTCTCTCTATTATTAAGGGTAAAATTGTCATTTAGTTGATTAAAAGTGTAATAATTTAGTCGGCTCGCATAGCGGGTTGGATATCCAGGTTAATAAAAAAAAAGTGTAATAATTACACATTTCTAAAATGACATGCCTTTTTCGTTGTTGACATTTATTTTAAGACGGAGGGAGTATATGGTAATGATTCTATCATGCCACTAGTTTTCAATTACCATAATCATACTTCTGATTAGTTCTACATGCCACAAGCTTATTTGTCTTAAGAGTTTTATATACATGATATAATTCTTCTCATCATATCAATAAGTGTTGTGCAGGGCTTGGATTATGCAATGATGACAGGAGGAGATGTTGCTCCGCTTGGTGCACAGGCAGTTACTAAAATTCATGAGATATTTGATTGGTCTAAGAAGTCAAAGAGGGGTTTGCTGCTATTTATTGATGAGGCGGATGCTTTCCTTTGCGAGTAAGTTCTAATTTTCCTTGGAATTTGTTATCGACAAATTTGGTCTTTTTGGAAGTACTTGCAAGTAGAAATGGGCTTTGATGTATAATCATAATCAGATTCTTAAATTTGAGAATGATGGTAGTTCTTCGATCGTCATAGCTCCTCCCTATGCATGGGGTGCGTTAGGTAAGTGGAACAGTATAGGACAGGATGAAACAAAAACTCATTCTCCCGCATTTGGTGCGACAATTAGATTGGGATTGGACAGGACTCGATGGGACAAAAATGTAGTTTTTCTCTCCCACCAAAATAGGTGGAACAAAAATTAGGGTGATGGGACAAACTTGGTAAATTGCTAAACGACACATGTCATATTAAAACCCTAAAACCTTCCACAATTCATTCAAACCGCCTACCTCACTTTCGTCCGTCCAGTCCAATCTTGTACAGTTCCGTTTGCATACCAAATGCACCCGAAATGATGAAAACAACCATATCCTTTTCCAAAAGAACTGATCTCATCTGACTTTTAAAGAGCCAAGCCAGTAGTTACAAAAACTGAAACTGGTAAGGTTTTTCATTAACTTGGATCGAATTTGTAGGTTTGAGATCAAGTCTTGGAGCAAACTGTTGGGGTTACCCATAGTGTTTTTTTTGTTTCAGAGAAGCCCTTTTATATACTCTTTCCGTCCCGAAATAAGCATTCACATTTCTATTTTAGTTTGCGCCCAAATTAATATCCATTTTAACTACAAGGGTGGTGCCCGGTTGGTTTGAGCTTGGGCTCCAAAGGTTAAAAGTGCCTGGAGGTCCCAGGTTTGAATCCAAAGAGGAATAAAAATCCCCTTGTGGTCATGGAGGTTCAAATGCGGTGACTACGTGGGTGGTCGCACTGGGATTAGTCGGCTCGCATAGCAGGTTGCATATCTACGTTAATAAAAAAAGTTAATATCCATGTTCAAAAGTAAAAGCGTCTACTTTCCGGTTCTACCCATAATTATGAGATGGAGAAACTGATTACTGTCTGTTATCAAGGATAAAATTTTCATGTAGTAATTAAAAAAGTGTAATAATTACATATTTATAGAACTGAATGCCTTTTTATTGTGGACATTTATTTTGTGACGGAGTGTGTATTTTTACCCGACATGAAATTGGAAAAAGATATGTATTTCGCTCCGAGATCATATCTTTTAACAGCTGTTTTAGTAGCTTATTTTGGAACCATTAACCGTTACGCTGTGTATTCAATGCAGACGTAACAGCACACACATGAGTGAAGCCCAAAGAAGTGCTTTAAACGCATTGCTCTTCAGAACCGGAGACCAATCAAGAGACGTAGTTCTTGTCCTTGCCACTAATCGACCCGGTGATCTCGATAGCGCTATAACGGACCGTATCGACGACGTGATCGAGTTCCCGCTTCCTCAGGAAGACGAACGGTTCAAACTATTGAAACTCTATTTGCACAAATATCTTTATGAGGACAGTGACAACATTAAGGAATCCAAATGGCATTCCCTTTTCAACAAGAAAACACAAAGGATCGTGATCAAAGATTTATCGGATGATGTGATACGTGAGGCTGCTAAAAAGACGGACGGGTTTTCTGGCCGTGAAATAGCGAAACTAATAGCCAGTGTTCAAGCAGCGGTTTATGGACGGCCGGATTGTGATTTAGATTCGCAGCTGTTTCTGGAGATCGTGGATTACAAGGTCGGTGAGCATCACCAGCGATTGGAGCTAGCGAATGCAGGTAACCAGCTAGCATAAATAACACTTCGTTTCCGCATGTAAGAGGTGGAATTCGTTATTGTTTTCAATTTTCGCCTGCCGGAATTTTGAACGATATATAAATATTCGAAGAAGAGACGAAAAGGGGTGGATTTTGGTAGGATTTTGAGTATTAGATATAAGAGGCTTTGGCAACTAGGGTTTTTTTTGCTTGTTCCTGTAGTTGTGAAAGTATGTATTTCATAAGAATAGGGCATTTCTATTGAAACGTTGAGAAGTGTCGATTTGACCCTTTGTGCGGTTGAGCGTAACTATGTTGTTGGTCGATAACCTACTTATCGGTTGAAAAGTTAGTTGATGGCAGAGAATGCAGTTGATAAAATAGTCATGTTTGTTAGTGTAAAACGGACTTAAAAAGACCTGTTGAAATTAATTAAAAAAAGCATTAGGGGTGTAGCTGAAGAAATTTTTCTGGGAGTTCTTTTAAAAGGTAAAGCAATAACAAATAACAAGAGCTAACAAAAACGAGACAAACGGAAAGACGAAGAGCCAGGTCGACAAGAACACGGCCATGTAAACAATGGACCCGACTCGTAACTAACCATCCAACTCTGACCACCATATCACTCCGTCCATAATATGTCAAGGTTGCAAAAAGCCGATCCACTTGCTGAATTGTCCCACATGAAAAGGTCTGATTGTTTCGATAATATCAAATCGAGTAGAGAGTTGTCCAAATTATCGTCTTCTAAAAATAAGGTAGCTTATGATTATGAACTCAAAATTTCTACCATAAAATTTATAATATAAATCTTGAATATGTGTTTCGTGATGAAAGATTTACGAATGGAGACGTGAACAAACATTTTCTTTATGATATAATGATAAAATACAATTATTTAACCACAAGGGTGATGTCTGATTGGTTTAAGCTTGAGCTCTAAAGGTCAAAACTCAAAAGTGGCTGAAGATCTCAGGTTCAAATCCAAGGATGAATAAAAATCCCTTGTGGACATGGAGGTTCAAATGCGGTGATTCTAGCTTCGCGGGTGATTGTCATGAGATTAGTCGGCTCGTATAACAGGTTAGATATTCAGATTAATAAAAAAACAATTGTTAATCAAAAAAGCAAATAAAATAACTTTCTATATACATATTCAAGAAAATAAATTATGGACGCTCAAAATTAAAAGATTTTTTTATAAAATATAAGAAATGTGACGTGGCATTAGGTATGGGAATGGGGCGGGGACCTCAATCCCCGTCCTCGTCGGGGAATATAATCACATCCCCACCTCCAACGGAGAAACGATGATTTTTTTCCCGTTTATGTTACTTATTTTAAATTAAATATGTGAGAGACCATACATGTTTAAATCTCAAACATTTTCAATAAACCTAAAATCAAAATGAATTTAATTTAATACAAAAAAACCACACATATAATAATTAATAACCTAAAACAAAAAAAAAAATTCAATTTAATCCAAAAAAACTTAAAGTCACATGTACCAAAAGATATTTAGTAATATAAAACCATATCGAGTAATTGTATTTTGACTTGCATCCAAAATATTACATATTAACATCCAAATAGTAACAATTTTAGATTATAAACCTAGTTAGGAAATAGAAAATTATGACTTATCGTTTTAATTTAAATAATACATATATATATATATATATAATTTATTAATTAATATACATAACGGGTACAGGACGGGACGGGGAGTACGATACCGTCCCCGTCCCCATCCTTTTCCTGGATTGAGACAAACGGGGATCCCCGTCCCCATCTCCGATCTAACGGGGAATCCCCGTCCCCAACCGGGGCGGGTGGACCGGGTTTCCTGACGGGTCGGGGCCAATTCCATGCCTACGTGGCATGACATGTAAGAATTGAATCAATTCGTTGATGATTAATGAAATGGCGAAATTGAGTCTTTGTTTTATTGATTCATTAAAATAGGTTACGATTACAAAAGGGAAACAAAACCTAAGCTAAGAAAAGAGTAAAAGACATAACTGGTCCCTATACAATGGAACTAACATCAAACAATTAAAATTGCATAAGAAAAGTTTAATCAAACGAACCCAGTAAATCTTATACAGAGCAGTCTGATTAACTGATACCGCATGTAATAGAACTTTACGGGAATGCATTATTTCGATTCTTCTGTACATTTATGTTTCATAGAGCAATAACTCCTCAAACTTTCACGAGACATCTGAATAGAATAGAATGCTGTAAACAAAACAAATCATCAAGAAAGTTAGAGCTATTCATCACTTCGCACCAAATCGAACTAAAGATGCATCGGATCACTACCATCTACGCATAATAAACGGAAAGGTTGAATCTTTGGCCTGATTCTACCAAAATAAAACCAGACCAAATGAATTCAGTCTATCCCATGCTGAGGTGGGGGTCCAGGGTAAGATGTACACAAATCTGACATCTACCTCAAAAAGTAGAGCGACCGAAAGTGCAAGACAAATATGATAAAGATTTGAAATGATGGTTAAAGCGATGAATCCGATTGGTGAGTTCACCTGCAGACTAACGTCGATAATTGGGGGAAGGAATGTAGCCAGACTCGATGTGCCTAACGTCTTCAAGAAGCAATTCATAGTGTCTTTTGACTTCTTCCGCTGACTTGCCGCCACCCACAGCCCTGGCGATCAGCTGCCACCGATCAGCGCTGTCGCGATCATACACAGCAAGGGCGGTTTCGAATAGCTTGTTCTGCTTGGCTGTCCAAGAGCAGGTGGTGGAGCTGTATGAGATGGAGTTTGATGCCATTTTCAAAGACTTTTGTATTTGAGTCTTGCAAAATAGTGGAATTGGATGACTGATGGTTTGGAAGATGGTATCAGAGGAAGCTCTTTATATACAGCAGGAAAGTGGTGGTGGTTGTGGTGGTGGTCAGTGGTAGTGGTGGTGGTGGGGTGGGGTGGTTCCAGTTGGAAGAATATAAGCTGCAAGAGGGTGGGAATTAGTAGAAGAATCAGTATCTGTTTTTGGGACCTTTAGGAATCTAAGGGGTAGTTTACCATACACTTACCAGGGTAAGCGCTTATCAAGTCAAATTACCTTACCGGATAAATATGGTAAGAACTAAAAATCTTACCTAATGAGAGCGAGACAAGAATCAAAAGCCTTACCCGGTAAGTGAGAGCGGGGACTCTTACCATGGTAAGCGCTTACTGGGTAAATTGTTACATACAGTGCCGTTTTGGTGAACTAAAGTCTTACCCGATAAGTAAGTGGTAGTGTTAAATTTTACCGATAAACTGCTTACCGGATAAATGTTTGGTAAAACCTCTAAGGCAAGAAATTGGGTTAAAATCAGTTGGTATTTTGTTGATTTCTGTTAAAAGTTTGGATCTACTTGTGTGTTATAAGGGACCTGATTCTTCCCATCTTTTTCTTGTTCCATTTTGGCATTTGGACCACATTTGTTGATGAAAAAAGAAAGATATTATCCCGATTTATATCTTGGCACGACGTATCCTGATCACAAGCAAGTTGTTTGAGGACGTATTTTAACATGGTATCAGAGCAGGTATCTCTAGCATCTTGGGGGTTTGACATACTCATCACCCAATCTACTCGAGCATTTGTTTGAGGGAGCGTATTGATGTCCCATATCGGCTAGTGAAGAATCAAACCCACCTTTAGGCTAGCTCAACGCGTTGGGCTATTTCTCATAGGTCGTTGGTTTTAAGTCTCCTTAGGGTAACTGAAGATTTTTCTGGTTGTTATCTTCAGGGTCTCATAGGATTAGTTGAGGTATGCACAAGTTGGCTCGGAGATCCACGGTGAAAATAAACAGATTCCCTGATCTCTTTGCAAATAGTTTTGTAGACAAAAAATTAGGGGTTTCATATATTCTAACAGTTGAGACCAAAAAACGAGCACTGAAAGTTTGATTCCTCTAAGATGCTATCAATTTCTTTGAGACCAAAATTTAGTCCGAAAAACAGAAATGGCCGTTCTTGTAGTACTCGTTTGTTTGCTTGTTAGCATCCCGTTAGTGATTTAGTTTACCATCAACAAAAGTTGATGGAACCGGAAGCGATTGTGGAGTAGGTATATGCTTGTCGGAGAGTGGCAAGGTTCGTCACGAGTTAAGTTCTTTCGTGTACTGGGACGTATAATGGTAATATGAAATAAGTTTAAAGTGGATAAGATGGACCCGAAGAGTTTAGAGTTTAAAAATTCGGCATTTTTCTTTAAGAAAATCCAAAAGAACCCAGTATATTTCACTCAAGAGTAGGGGTGGAGATAATAAGATATACGCAGACTTGTTCTTTACCCCAAATGGTGAAGAAGCTATTTGGATTTTTCATTCTCACGGGATTTCTCCCTTCGTATTTTATATATATATATATATATACACACACACACACACATACTAGAAGGTACTGGTGCAATGCAGCGAGATACATATTCATTTTAATGTTTCGTTTTATTTTTTGTCTTTGTTGATATAACACGGTTTATGTAGTTTTCAGAAAGATAATTTTTTACTTTTGAATAAAAATAAATTTGAAGACATCATAAATATTTTTAAAAATATTTCGATATTAATATTAAATTAACTATTTAAAAGTTATTATTTTTTATATAAATTAATTTTTTTATTATAATTTAATTTAAATCAAATAGTGAAATAATTTATTTTTGGCTTAACAATAAAAGCTTTATAAAGATAATGATTTTGTTAGAACTCGATAATTATCCTAATTATATTTTAGATTTTTTATATTTTAAAATGAGATGTTTATCCTCTATTTGATTATGTTTATCCGCAGTTATTTACACGAATTCAAACATGAAGCTTTAATAAGTTGTACTTATGTATAATTTACTTGTAATCTTGAATTCTAAGGAATATGCATAAATAAACAGTACTTCATGCATAAAAAATGGTTTTTAAGAGTTTTTATCAAATGTTTTATAATATAGTATAGATACGTGTGTGTGTGGGGATAGTACAAGAAAAGTTACTCTTTTTATTCTTTTTTGCAGACAAATAGAAGATAACAGTGTTCCATTTTCATTCAAGAAGCAAACTCTAAATACTAGATGTGACCTCCTAGGGTTCCCTTATCAGGGATCCCTGGAGTCATGGCCACATATCTTTCCAGCTATATCTTTATGAATATCAATTTTGAAACCGTGCGGGATCATTCAAAACAATCGAAGGGATCCCCGGTAAGAGAACCTGAATATCTCAAAGATTTTTCTTTAATTCTCGATTCTAGCATTGAACGAAAGGTTTGAGATTTAATGGCGTACTGAAAAAAAGGAACAATAGCTTCCCTGTTATTTCTGACATGATTACTAAAGTGACAGACTGTTAATCTGTTGTACGAATTAATTGTAATAAAATTTGATTATATTTCTAGATAATTATAAGCATAAAATATATAAAAAACCGTTTTTTATTAAAGTCAACCTCATTCAATGATGTTAATGGACCTTGGAATAATGAGTTAGAAGGCTATTTTAATATGCAAAAAAAAAAAAAATTCTTATTTTGATCAAACAAACCAAAAACTGCATAGAAGATGTTATTAGACAGCCTCAATAATAAGCAAAGACAAAAAAAAAAAAATCTAATTTTGAAATATACAAACCAAAAACCGTTTAAATGATGTGATGCATGATGTGACGACAAGCTTTATGAGTTACGATAAAATCAGTGTTTTTCAATGTCTGCCCGAAAGGGGTATATATATATATATAAGAGTTCATTCAAGAGAGAACTGATTAGTTTGTGATGACTGTGAGATCCAATTTTAACCATAAATTAATGGATAAATTAGAAAACTATTATTTTTGGTAATTTGACTTAAAATTATAATTAAAGAGCATTTTAGGTATTTTAAATTGTTTATCTCTCCTCTCTCTCTCTCCTACCTCCGGCCTTTGACGAATACCATGTGATACCCAAAATACACCAATATATACTATGTGATACCCAAAATACACCAATATATACAATGTGATACCCAAAATACATACAATGTGATACCCAAAACACACCAAATAAAACTTTAAGACCATTATGATACCAATTGTGGTACACTGTGATATCAACTGTAGTACCACTGTCGCTGATGGGGTGTTTAGTGGTCGATCATCGGATACGGCGTCTTGGCCAGACAAGATGACCAGAGGAGGTCACCAGAGTGGTGGTGGGTGCCGGAGAAGACCACCAGATTTCGTTCATGTGTATCCGTGTGTGTGTATACATATATTAAAATAATTAAAGTAATATATATATATATATATATATATATATAGGTGAGTTATTATACAACCTTTTATATTTGTACAACCCAATCTCAACCGTCCATTTAATTTGATGAATATGTGATTTCATAAAAGTTTTGATTGTTTCCTAATATAAAATATTAATCATAATTAATGAACTCTATTCATATTCCATAAATATTCAAATTATAATAAATGAACTCCCAGCATGTTTCACATTCAACCTATATATATATTAGTGTTTTGAATAATATCGTATACCAAATTAAATTCATATAAAGTAATAAAAAAGAGTCACTGATACCAAATATATATAGAAAGCTTATAAAAATGATATCAAGAATGTAAAGTTGGGATTAAATCTTTTGAATCTTTACTCATTACTTTATTCTTCAAAGAATTCGAGTTTGAATCTTCGTGTACAGGAATGAGAGTGAGGGGCTGTTTACCAAACACTTACCCGATAAAATTCAAGATTATCATTTACTTATTAAATAAGATTTTGGTCCACCAACACGCATACAACAATTTACCCGGTAAGTGTTAACCGTGGTAATCGTTGTCTCTTCCACTTATAGGGTAAGATTTTTAGTCATTGCCTCGTTTTTACCAGAAAAGATTCTTGATTTTTATAATATTCATCTGGTAAGATAACATGACTTGATAAGTGCTTACATACCTATGTGTTTGGCAAACGGCCACTAAATATTTATCTATTTAAGATTTTAGTTTTTGGATTTCTTTTTTATGTTTACTTAAACTTTAAGTCTCGTACATGATTATAATTTATCCCAGAAGTTGCATATTAAAAATAAACTCACATAAATAACGCACCACAACGCATTGTAACATCTTAACATGGGGACGAACCCAAGTTTTCTCATTAAGGGGTATTTGAGATTGCTTATAAAAACAACTTATTGACTTATTCCGGTGTAATACCGGTATAAACAATTTTGTATGTTTTGATAAACAACTTATACCGATACCAAACCGATAATAATCACCGTTCTAAAGTTTTTAAAAAAAACATTAACTTGTTTTAAATAAACAATCTCAAACACCCCTGAAATATATTTTAGTATTTGATTTCTGCATCTATTCAATAGTGTAGTTGGCATTCAAAATCTGAACCTAATCGAAGAAGCTTCAAGCAGCAGGTATTTATGTCTCAATCGATGGCTCCGATTTACCTATTTCTTCTACTCATATAATGCAATGAATTCACTTACACACACATGTTATAATTTTTTAATTTCTTGTCGTAATCCATGGGTTTAGGGTTTTTGATTTGAACTTTAATTTATGTATGATTTCAGGAAGTTCTGGTTGTAATTCCCAACTTTTTGGCACGAGATAAGATCGTTGGATTGTATCAAAGAGATTACGCGCAAATGGCAACGGAATCATCGGAAGGAGAAGAAGAAACCAAGCTGATGGGTGGGAATCCGCAGCTGGTGGTGGATGGTGACCTACGTGAGATGGCAAAGATGGCTGCTTGGAGCGTAAGCTCTTGTAAACCTGGCAATGGCGTTTCTTCTCTTCGAGATGACAATTACGAAACCTATTGGCAGTGCGTAAAGTCTTGCATTCCGTTTTCCCAATTTCATGAGTTCTCTGTGTGGTCGTTTTGTATTTTACAAGTGTTTGATTGATTTTGGATTCAGATCAGATGGTGCACAACCTCATCTTGTTAACATTCAGTTTCAGAAGAAAGTTAAGCTTCAAGTAAGTACTGTTCTTCTTGCAATTTTTCTTTTATTAGATATTGTTGGAACTTCCTTTATATTTCAAGGACCCTTTTGGAGAGTAATATGATAGGGTTTCTGATGCAGCATATAACAATGAAAACACAGATTGCCTCCTTGATTCTAAGAATACCCATGGCTAATCTTGGGATAAAAAATTAGAGTTTCTAATCCAGGTGTGACCATCCAGATTTCACAAGACGCGCACATAAATAGGAAGCCCAAAACAAAATGGTCCTGAAAAAGACTATGGGGCAAACATAAAACGCCCAATGAAAATGCCAAAAAAGGAGTAAAAAACACGAAAATGTCCAAAAACCATGCTTAAACAGCCTTTTCAAAAGTCGGTTAGGCGCGGTGTGCTCCTCACTCCATGCTTCGAATCGACTGGTCGTGGGCCTGAAATGGAGACCTGGAGCCAGAGTTATGGCCTTTTAAGCACGCCCCTTTGGTAGCCCGATCATGGGCCTCCAAGAACAATAGGCCCGGTCCTCCACGCCCAGGCCCGTATCAGTTTCACATAATCAAGCTGGGGTGCAACTCTAAGAAGGGTACTCGACCATTGGAAGGGGACATGTTTTTTTTTTTAAGTATATAATATTTGCATACGGAAAATAGAACAAATGAACTCACACACCCTCCTCACCTTTGGTGAGGTTTGAACCCTTGATCTCCTAGGAGGCCAAGGACTCACATACCGCTAGGCCAAAGGCCCTTTGGTTGGAAGGGGACATGTTGGAGTCACGCATCAGCTAGACGCGGTCTCTCTCATCTGTATATATTGGAACCTTCTTTTTATTCTCAAGGGATCTTTTGGAGAGTAATTTGATGGGGTTCCACATATCTCGCAAGATGAGCTAATTCTTGTACATGTTGATTTTAGTTGCCTTGGCTATGTCGAGCCAATTCTTGTGTATTTTAAGAGTGCTTGTAATATAGCACTAATTGTAATTTGACAACTTATGCCTCTTCTAGAAATGATCCTCGAAGTTTTAATCCTCAAAAGAGGAAATTCATCTTCTTGTTTTGTTTTTTAGGTAGGGGAGTAGTCATAATTCTTTTGTTGTCATCACTTCCTGCATTTCAATTTGATTTTACAAAAGGGGTTTTGTTGCTTCTTCAGTTGGTGGCTCTTTATGTTGATTTCAATCTTGATGAGAGTTATACGCCTAGTAAGATCTCGGTTCGTGCTGGAGATGGTTTCCATAACTTAAAGGTAGCTATTCTCAAACTGCTTATCTTTGACTTCTATCATCACTTCTGATTGTTGGTTACTGGATTATAATATGATTTGAATATAGTATCGGGTGAGAGATATGCACCGGCTTACCCTATGAGCTTGATCATGTTCTTCCTCATTCTTTGTTGTAGGAGATAAAAACAGTAGAACTTGTCAAGCCAACTGGTTGGGTATACATATCTTTATCTGGCAACGATCCTCGGTAAGCAATACTGGTTAACTTTCTGTTTGTTCTTTGCGTTCTTTTCAATCAGTCGTCTTTCTTGATGTGTTTGATTCATTCCATAACTATGATGAAATAGAATTGCTTATAGCTTCTTACAGGAAGCACGTAATGCTCCACAAATTAAGTGACTATAAACTAAACCAAACCAAACCAAACAAACCCAGTACATCCCACTTGAAAGCAGGGTCTGGGACCCCAACGTTAGAGCGGCTGGGAACATGAAGTTATATAACACCCTCTATCCAGTATTCAATTGAGACATCATGCTTTCTGAGATCCGTTCCAACATTCATCTGGTAGTCCAAGAATCTTGGCGTTTGAAATGAAAGTTCACCTTCATGTTGTTAGACTTGTTTGATCTCTCTCAGACATTATCATGAATCCTTAGAAGAGTATGAAACCAAACCAAACAACCCCGTGAATCATGCACAGAGTAGGGTCTAGGAAGGGTAGGATATACACAAACCTTGCCTTTGCCCCGAGGATTAGAAAGGTTGTCCTATAAAACATTAAACTTACAGTCTGTATATATATTTTTCCATGTTACTCCCTCCATCCCAAAATAAGTGTCCACATTTATATTTTAGTGTCACCTTTAAAAGTAAGTGTCTATTTTCCAATTCTACCCTTAATTATGAGATGGAGAAATTCATTACCCCCTCTATTATTAATGGTATAATTGGTAGTTTAGTTGATTAAAAAGTGTAATAGTTACACATTTTTTATGACCGTGTGCCTTTTTAAGTGTGGACATCTATTTCGGGACGTAGTATCACTTTTTCTTGATTCAGGTAGCTGTTAAAATACATTATAACCCTTGTCTTGTTGCAGGGAAGCTTTTGTGAATACATTCATGTTGCAAATCGCTATATTGTCAAATCATCTCAACGGAAGGGATACACATGTTCGCCAGATAAAAGTCTATGGACCACGACCGTGCGTGACCATCCTTTTAATTAAAGTTTCCCCTTCGGAAGGAACTCATTTTTGATCGATTCCTAATTCAAGAATCTTGTTTATGTGTGTTGTGTTGCAGGAATCCTATACCACACCAACCATTTCAATTCACTTCTACTGAATTCATTACTTACTCAACTGTTAGATAAGGAAGCTAAAAGGTGTTGGATTGGCAGTTTACAGTTTGCCGCAACAAGGTCAGATATGCGTACATTTTACACCAAAGTACTGTTTTCCGATGAGATATACTGGGCTAGTTTGATTCAAGTAGAGTACCATCTTAAGTTTATGGTCATCTATTCTCAATTTTTGTTTTATTTTTTGGTGAAAAAGAATGGTGCTTAATGTGGTACTGGGGCTATTCACAAATCACAACTCTGACCATTTGTTTTGTTTTTCAATTTTTTTTTAATTAACCTGGATATCCAACCACCCGACTAATCCAAGGGAGACCACCTGCTTTGCAGATAGCCCGGAGTCACCCATTTGAACCTCCGTGGCCACAAGAGGATTTTTATTCCTCCTTAGATTTGAACTTTGGACCTCCAGGTACTTTTTGACCTTTGGAGCCAAGCTAAAATTAGGCACCAATCTTTGGTTTGTTTTTCAATTTTATAATCTATTATATACTTGTTTTTTCATTGTTCTTGTAAAATACAAAAGCAAATTTGTAGTTTACAAGAATTCATGATTTTAAACAAATTATAAAAATATAAATTACAAGATATCCATTTGACTCTATTTGTAGAAACTAGGGATGGTGATTTGGCCCGACCCGGTGGGGAACCCGGTTCACCCGACCCGGACGGGGACGGGGATTCCCCGCTAAAACGGGTACCGGGGCCGGGGCCGGGGCCGGGGATCCCCGGTAGAGGCAAACCGGGGACGGGGCCGGGGCCGGGTATTGTATCCCCCAACCCGCCCCGTACCCGGTATATATATAAATATTAAACATTTTTATTATTTGGGCTTATGTGATATATATAATTGGGCTTAGATTTATTATGGACTTGGGCTTTTACAATTTTATTGGATTATTGTTAATTTTACAATTTTATTATTTTTATTATGTAAGACTAGATATGATGTAATTAACTAATTATGTTGTTATGTTGATTATGCTTAGAAAAAACTTATTAATTTTAAATTGACCGGGTGTTGACCGGGGGTTGACCGGGGGTTGACCGGGGCCGGGGACTATTTATATAAACCGGGGCCGGGGCCGGGGATTGCAAACCCCGCCCCATCCCCGCCCCGTTGCCATCCCTAGTAGAAACCCTTCATGCCAACCTATCTCTGCTTCTCTCTATATGCAAAAGGGTTTGTAACCGACAACTCTCAAGCAGATCACGTTGTCGGAAAAGTATTATGTGGGAGACAAATTAAGTACAAAACAAGCGCCGGCTTAAGAGTGCAGTGCTTACAAAAAGCTCAACCTTTAGGGGTCGTTTACCTGAACACTTGTCTGGTAAGTGCTTATCAGTTAAATTCTACACTATCATTTACCTTACCGGATAAGATCTTAGTCCATTAAAATGGCATCGTATGTAAAAATTTAATCAGTAAGATCTAACTGGGTAAGAGTCGTCGTCACTTCACTTACCGGGTAATATTCTCAGTCATTGTCTTCTTCTTACCGAGTAAGATTCTTAGTCCTTGTCATATTATTGGTTAAGGTAATATAACTTGATAAGTGTTGATCAAGGTAAGCGTTTGGTAAACGGCCCCTTAGACCATCTCCAATCATCTGCACTATTTATTACACCAAATGATATGAAATTTGGTGCAAACAGTAATTCTTGCCAATCAGTTACACCATTTCTAACGTCAAATAGAATATTTCAACTATATTTTGTATCTCTAATTTATATAGATTTTCAATTAAATCTTTGTATTCATTAGTTGTATACAAAGTCAACTCCAAGGAGGAATAAAAATCTATTTGTGGTAGAGATGGCCAAAAATCGGTCCCGGGCCGGGCCTTAACCGGTTAGTCGGTTACGGCCGGTCCTAATCGCGACAAAAACCATCCTTAACCGGTCCCTCTATAACCGGTCCCGGTCCTGATGAAAAACTCTATAACCGGTCAAGCTTGCCCATGACCGGTTAAGCCGGCCGGTCCCGGTTTCGGTCCCATAACCGGTTACGGCCGGTCCTTTGAAATTTTTTATTTTTTTTATTTTTTTGGTAATTAATAAATTTATAATATGTTATTAATATCTTTGAAATATGTTTTTTAAATATGTTTTTTAAATATGTTTTATTATAAATATGCTTTATTATAAATATGTTTTGTTATATATTATATATATACGTTTAATTTTATAAATACGTTTTGTTATGTACGTTTAATTTTATGAATACGTTTTGTTATATACGTTTAATTTTATAAATACGTTTTGTTATATACATTTAAGAATACACTTTAAAAATACGGTTTACTCAAATACACTTTAAAAGTACGTTTTATTATGATTAAAGTGGCATTGTTTTACAAAATGCAATAAAATACATTTATTTTTCAATCTTCATCGGTATCCCATACCGGGCCGAGCCCTTAACCGGTTACGTAACCGGTTCCGGTCCAAGAATTCTCTAAAAAGTCTAACCGGTTTGTAACCGCCGGTCCATAACCGGTTACTACCGGTCCCGGTTCGGTTACGGGCTTCAGGCGGTCTCGGTTACGGGCCTCCGTCAGTTACGGGCCGGGCCGGTTACAGATGGCCATCTCTAATTTGTGGCCACGGAAGTTCAATTGTGGTGACTCTGTACTACTTGTAAATCAGGTGGTCATACTGGGATCAGTCGTCTCGTATAGCAGGTAGGTTAATTAAAAAAAAGTCAACTCATAAATTTTAAACTTTATAAATTGTAATATTATAAATTATAACCAAACCAAATTAATGCATTTTAAATCCCTGATTTGGTTGAACAGATTATTAGATAACTACTATGTATTATTTCGTTCGTCTTAAAATAAATATTCACAATGAAAATTGTACATATTTTTGAAAATGTGTAATTATTACACTTTTTAATTAATTAAATAACAATTATACTGTTAACAACAGACGGAGTATTTAATTTAACCATCTCATGATTAAGAACTTGTTTTGGCAAAGAAAATGAATTTTTATCTTGATAAGTCATGTATTGTCTTATCTTACTTACCAAACATATCCTAAAATAATTTTAATTAGTGTGGGAACCGTGTGTTGTGCGGTAGCATGAATACTTTGATTAATGATCTGAAGATTGTCTATATAAATATATATTAGTTGTTAATAGATTCATCAACAAATAGTATTCAAATAATTCGAAAAAGTTAATAAAATCTAATTAGTTAATTTTAACACACACACACACACACACACACACACATATATATATATATATATATATAAAGGTTCAAACGAGAACCCCTGTGACATACAAGAACGCGAGAACAATTTATTAACCTCATAATGTGATAACAATTAAAAGTAAAAGATTTTTAAAATTAAAATTGAAGTTTAAAACGATTCGAAAAAAATTGAGATTCGAAAGGGTAATAATGGAAATAAAAAACATACAATTTTAAACACCATCACATTATAATCCTGGAAATTAGAGTTATCCACTTAATTCAACAGTCATCGTTTATTAGAAGGTATTGATTAAAAAGGTAACAAAAGAATTTCAAGAAGAAATCGAAGATCAAGAAGCTGTAAAGTCTAGAAATCAAATAGCAAACAGGAATCGAACAACAAACATGAATCGATCAGCAAGAAGAAGTCGTAAGGTTTGCATGCAGGAATCGAACAACAACAAGAAGCCGTAGAACACAGTTTATTCAAGGTATCTGTCACAATTACTCGATTTGAACATGCTTTCATTCGATTAAGATTAGACAATCACACAAACAATGATTACAGGAGAAATCGATTAAACGATTTGGTGTGATATGGGTGTGATAATCATGTGATATCACTATCATAATAGCGCATTCGATTTGATCATGGTTTCGATCGGTTAGGGTTAGACAATTACACATTTATCACAACGAATACTCATTGTTTCGATAGGTTAGGATTAGACAATCATACATTTATCTCAATGATTATGGGCGAAATCCACTAAACGATTTGGTGTGATATGGGTGTGATAATCATGTGATATCACTATTATAACACCGTGATAATCATGTGATATCACTATTATAACATCACTTGTGCACTCAATTTGATCATGGTTTCGATCGGTTAAGGTTAGACAATCACACATTTATCACTACGATTACTCATGGTTTCGATAGGTTATGATTACACAATCACACAATTATCACAAAGGAAGAGAAGAGTGTGGAAACGAATGTGATCAATCCAGGAAAAAAAAGGATAATTATAATTAATTAAAATAAAATAAAAATTATAAAAATTACTTAATTATATTATTGTCCTTATTAATTTATTTATATTTAATATAAGTTAATTTATTAATTAAAAAAATTTGAGGTTATTGGGTTGTTCTTGCATCTCGTAATATCATAGGGGTTCTCGCTTGAACCTCCATATATATATATATATATATATAGAGAGAGAGAGAGAGAGAGAGAGAGAGAGAAAGATCTGTTTAGGAATAAAGTTGTAAAACTAAATAAAATGAGTAATAATAACGACGGGACTATTAACAACTCAAGAATAAAAAATATTCCACATAAAGATACGTCTCCTTCAAGTAATTTAACTTACATTGATGTAAGAAAATCGATTGAAAGAAACAAAAAAGAACCATATTTGAAAACTTAAAATAGACGATGAGTCAATCCTAAGGCATTGCAAAAATCTAACTTCAACTTTTCATTTTATTGCTTTGTTGTAAAAAGAAATCTGTAAGGCTGTTTGGATTGACAATAAATTGAGTAATACACACTTGCACAACTAAAAGGTAACTCATAAAAATTATAATACAATCAAAATCACAACATGAACATACATAAAATTATCATAAAAACTAAACTTATGATAAGAATATACTTAAAAAATATAATGCAATCAAAATCATGATACAAACATACATAACATTCTAATACACTCTAAATTACAAAACAAACTTGCATAAAATCCTTATCTTAGGTCATGATCATAAATTCCCACAACCCAAACTTGAAAACTTCAAATTTTCAAGACTTAATACATAAAAGTTAAAGAATTCGAGAACCTGCAAACAAAAAAACGCTCAACATAAGTAAAAATTACATAGTGAACTTGAACACTTCAAATCTTCACCTAATACATAAGAATTATAATGCAAACAAAATCATAATACAAATATAAATAAAATTATAATGCAATTAAAATCATGAAACAAATCAATATAAAATTATCATCTTATATTGCAACCAAAAAGTCAAATATTGAACTCGAAGACTTCATCAAATCTTCATGACATTGTGCATAAAAATTATAATGCAATCTAAATAACGATACAAACATACATAAAATTATGGGGAAGTGAAAAAACAAAAAAAAAAACTATGAAGATTATCAATAATAAAATAGAAGAAAAACCAAAGAGAAAGAAAATAAATTTAGAGATGTATCAGATAGAGATAGAATTTGAGAGGATATGTGAGATGAATATGATTAAATGGTGGTTGTTTTTATATATACAAATAAATGATTGATTGGAAAAGATGAAAGCTTGGAGTTATTTAAATTAATATAGAAGGAGATGAATGGTTTAGAGTTCAATGCAAATATTTAACAAATAAACATAAATTGACAAAAAAATATAATAGTGAATATTGAAAGAATGAAGAAGGAAAAAGAAAAATGAGGTTCTAGGCTTTAGGTGATGTCACCTCAAACACTCATGGTTTCTTCTTTAATCGGTATCATGCATTGCATGATGACTAAAATTCATGTTGAAAAAAATGTATAAATTATTTTAATGGGTTATTTCCATAAACTTGGAACATGTTGCAAGGTTTTATACGATATTTTTAACTATTAAACCGAGTGTGGTTGAACATTATTATTTTCAATTTACCATATAAAAACATGTATAATTAATAAGGTTGTAAAGTATATTAGGGATGTGATGAAAATTATTAATAACAACCATAGTTTAAATATCTACTGTATAACATACATACAATTTAATTGTACTTTAATTAAAATAAATTAATACAAAAATGACATATAATTGGTGTCATACTTTTCTTTTATTTTTCAACAATTTCATAAATTATGAAATTATCTTTTTTTTTTTTTGTAAGGGTGTCCGGGCCAAAGCCCGACTAATCCCCGGCAAATTTGGAGGCTAAACATGGCCCCACTTAAATGTCGTCAACACTCCCTTCCCAGGGCTCGAACTCGGGTTCATGACTATGTCATGCCCAAGTCTTTACCATTAGACTGGAAGGTTTTTGACATGAAATTATCTTGTTAGTGAGTAAAATTTTTCATTGGTACATACGCTATTTGGAATCGATTACATAGAATTATCCGGCATCTTCAACCTTTTCATTTTTCATGTATATAAGAGATTTACCATCTTCATTCATTCCATTAGTTACAACTTCATTCTCTGTAACATTGATGATAATGGTATTGATCCTATTAGATTGTAGCATAACTTCATTGTCAGCATTGTCAAGTTGCATAAAACAAATAACTAAATTCATAAAAACAATTAATCTATTTTTAATCATTATTAATTATAAATAGTTGAAGGTCATAAAGACAATATTTGAAGAGCATCAACCGATTAATCAAAGTGTATATTTTCTTAAAATCTTAATTTCTCAAATGCAACATTAAAACATTTATTACTATATAACAACTTAAGAATCAAAACTAAACTGTATATTTTACTGTCACTTTTGCTAATAACAATATCATATCATAATAAATAATATTAAAATGTTCTATTAGCATTGTGATCTCTTGAGGGGAAAAAAATAGAAATGAGAATTAGGGTAATAATAAATCATGAAATTACAGAAGAAACAAAATCAATTTTAAATTGAGACTGATGTAATAGTAGACTGAATGACTTACATGTAATAATATATATGTACATTATCCATGAAGCTTTCATGTTCTTCAACATATTTAAATATCTTCATAACTTATTTAGACAATGAAATAGATATAACATCAAATAACAAGTTCATACATTTGAATGATCAAATATAATAAGAGAAAGCATGAGAGAAAAGCTGTTTGACAACAACTCAAACTATTAGGTAGCCAACTAAAAATGAAAAATCATAATGTGAAATAAATAAGAAAAAATAATTAAGAGACTGATTCTTTTACTTTTTTTCTCCGGTTCCCAAATAAATTAAAAGAAGTTAAAAAAGATTTAGGGGTTGTTTGATAGTTACTGAATGGTTTGGTGCAGAATGATTAAGAGACTCTCATGATATAATGCAAAATGAAATATAATTGATTGGTAATTGTTTACAATGAAATTGGGGCCCTTAATAGTTAAAGGAGATCCATGATACAAAATCATTCAGAGGGTTTTAGAACCATTAAAAGACATATTTTTTTTTTGTCAAACAACATTCACCTCTTAACGGTTCAGATGTTACATTTTAATGGAACTATTAAGAGATAAACTAGACTTTCTAACCTATAATAGCATATTTTACTAATAGGTTACAACCACTTCTTGTGCACACTTCTATTTAAGATAGATGCACTTTTAATACGACCAAAAACTTTTCCATTTTGTCGATAGATAGAGCAAGCACCCTCTCCGCTACACTTAGATTCACCCTTATAGTGATTGCGAGTTTGTATGATTGTTTAAGGAGTCGTTTATTAAACACTTATCTTGATAAACGCTTACCAGTTCAATTACTTTTTCGGATGAAGATAACAAGAACCGAGAATCTTCCTTGTAAGAGGGAAGGCAAGGATCAAGAGTCTTGTACGGTAAGTGAGGGTGATGACTCTTAACCGATAAGCACTTGTCAAGTTTAAGACGCTTACCAACAATTCATTTTGATAACCAATAATGTTACATGATAAGGTAAGTGAGAACAATGTCTCTTGCCCTCAAGCACTTGAGCATTTAGTAAATATTAGAGTATTGAGTGTAATTTCTATTTGTATTTGGGTCGTATAAATAGGTCTCTTTGTAATCCTTTCATTGAAGTAATATAATCACATTTCTTCATTACTGTAATATGGTATTTCAAAGCCAAAATCTGCCGCTCTAAGGACTAGACCCTTTGGCTAACCCCCTCTTGACACCCTGGACAACTTGTGTCCATCGAGCCCTTGTTGGAGGGGGCGTGTTCGAATCCCACATCGACTAGGCATAGACCATTTTTCCTCTATATATATGTTGGAAGCTCCCTATTTTCCTCGAGTACTAGACCCTTTGGCTAACCCCCTCTTGACATCCTGGACAATTTGTGTCCATCGAGCCTTTGTTGAAGGGGACGTGTTCGATTAGGCATAGACCATTTTTCCTATATATATGTTGGAAGCTCCCTATTCTCCTCGAGGGTTCATTTGGAGAGTAATATAGGGCCACAAGTCTACCACCTCAAAACCAAACGCCCTGAGGGTCAATATTCACACGTTTAAAGAACACTTGTGTTTCTCTTTATCCTTCAAAAAGATAAAAACCGATGACTACACACACATAACGTCCCTTCAGTGATTAAAAATAATGTTTTTTCCTTATTCATGCCAAATTACATTTTGGCCCTTTTGAATGAGAAAGTTTGGTGTCATCCAAGGTAACAAAGTTGAAGGTAAGTTGCAATATATACCAGCATCAACTGGAAAATAACATTCAGAAACGTTGAGCTTTTTGACTCAAGTCCTCGTGAGTTCAACCGCCTCTCTGTTTGTCTCTTGAGTCAGATGAAAGTTCTACGTGCATCTTATCCCCCAAACTCCACCTCTTCGGTCAGTCGATCGGTCGGATAGGATATACCGCGTTTGTTTGGTTTTGTCTTTTCGACTTAAAAGGAAGATGGTGAAGTTGAGGTTTTTGACAAAAAAATGACACCCTAGAATTAAAAGGGAATTGTGTTTTTGAACGACTGACTAAAAGTCAACAACTCCAATCAGCTGGTGATTGTTTGTCTACATTTGTTCTTTTCGACTTGGGCACTTGTTGTTCAATCAGAATACGAGCAATCAAATGATGCTTGGCATTATCAGACATGTCTCTTTATGATGTTCAATGGGACCAATCTCCAAAAGGTGACACATTACCATCAAAATCTCTTGGTTACCCCTACACTACACTACGAAATCTGGAATGGGATGTCGATAAATATCCACTAGTAAACATTGTTGCATAGCAAAACTCTCACTTAAATACCCAACTATCCCTTGTAACTACGATCTGCAGCTCATACAAGACCACCTAAAAAGCAAATCTATATTTATGTTTCTGAGACGAGTGACCTTAATCTCCCAAATAAATGATTTTATGTTTATGTTATTTATAGAAAATTGAAGTATACTGCATAAAAGGTATCTTTATATACAGAATTTATTCAACAAGACCAAAGATATCATGAAAACCAAGACCACTTGTAAAGCAAGAAGAAGAAACCTGGTTGTATCAGCATGTTGTACCTATATACCAGTTAATGCAGGCTAAAGTTTTCCAGCCTTCTCTGCTTCAAGCTTCCGCAATGTGGAAGAACTCAGTTTTTCTCCACTGGATTCTTCAGATACCAGATTTACAACTTCAACCTGCACATAACCCAAGTACCCAGAAAATATTAAATATCAAGCTCGTTTAGAAAGTCGATGTAATTTGCAGAATATGTACCTTTAGTTGTGAGAGGCCTCTCTCTGCTCTCTTCTTGTTGACGGATAATCCACCAGGTAACGTCTCCTTGCTGCCAAACAAGATTCTCACATTAGTTTTCCATACATCATAAAGACATTCAAAGACTTTGTCCCATAGGTCCATGAGCAGTCACGAAAATCCCCAATGGCCCTGATGCAAATCGAACTGATGACCTATGAGGAGTAGCCCCAAGACCTAGCCTTATTTGCCTGTTGAGCTGGCCCTCAAGGTTGGTAACCAACTAATCTTAGGTGTTGATGGTCAATCAAATGAATATGACATGGAGAAGTTTCCAACTAAGCTTTGGCCATCACATTGGGGGCCAGATAAGTGACCAAGAAAAGCAAACCAGAAATGTGGCTATGTACTCTACCGATTTTGTCATACTACTCTGGAAGTTAAGAAACAATCTCGACACTAAAAATCATTTATTGTCTCTAAAAAACAATCAATTCCATGTAGATCTAAGTGGTCAAGGAGCAAACCTGACAACAATAGCCTCCAGATCTTTATCAACAATTGAAGGACCATAAGGATCAATAATGGGTTCAACTTGTACTGCCAGCTCTGGCTTGATAGACTGAAAAGAGATTAAATTAGTGGGATGTTCAACAACGAATTAATGGAAGAAAAATTAATATATAAACTCAAAGAAGAGCTTGTCAGTATTCTGCTAAAGCATGATTGAGGCTCTAGCCCCCTCATGCAAGTGATCATCTTTTAAAAAAAAAACAGTATGTCCAAATTTCTACTCCCCTTGATAAAAACACCAAGGTTGGGTGGAAAGACAAGAAATTAGGTACAATGACTAACTTGACGCCCACCTAGGGGTATAGAAGAAAAAAGGATCAAACAGGTCATCTTGCATCTTCAGTTAACCGGCTAGACTCTAGTAAGGAGAAAAATCAAGAGCCATCAACTCACTTAACATTTAAATATGATTCATAAGTAAGGCAGATTCTAACAGATGAAGAAAAGAAAAAAAAACAAATAGAAGCTTTGGCACCTTAATGTAGTTTTCAACTATTTTCATTCTCTCTTCAATGGGCATAATGAGATCCGCAAACTGCAAAAGTTGGTACATCGACATCACACTGTATAAGTCACAGAAATTGATCCCCAATCGGAAGAATGTCAAAATGAGGATGACTATGATGGACATGAGATGACAGGTTAATACAAAATCAAACAGAATATTAACTTCTTAATTAGTTCTCAACTTTATGGAAAAGATAATCAAGACTTGAAAGATGGAAACACGTTTTAAAATCTACGTAATTACATGAGTGTGCCTATGCCATTCATGATTCTTAAAGGTGGATTCATTCATTCAAATCAGTGTCTGAGCTTACATTGTGCTTATGCGTTGTGTGAACTAAGCTAAATTTGTGGAATCCCAATGGATCATGGATACAAAGGTCCATCTTTCAGCCAGCCATATTTATAAACTTGCCACACTGTGAAAAATGAACTTGCTACTACTTTTTGTTGTGTACTCAATATTTTCATAACTTTGTATATCATTTATATTTATAGAAGAAAATTTTGGTCCTATACCCATCACTAGAAAGGATGCTACCACCACACCTAAACCTACAGCCACCCGGACATTACTGCTAACTGAAAATATTGATCTCTGAGAAAGGAAGCTCATTCTCAAAGGCTTGTAACACCTCTCCTGTAAGGTATTTTCTTTCAAGAAAACGAACCTTATTATACTAAAAATGCTCTTTTCCTCTTTGGAGGTCGTGGCTAGAGCTTGATTCATAATAAACCCAAAATGAGCTTCTACACCAATGTCAAAACTTGGCATAGCAGTTTTTCCTTTATTCTTTTTTCATTTTTGTTTGGGAGGGGGTGGAAGGTAGGCAACTAACTGCTCTACGATGGACTCCAATTTTGCATAACCATGCATGCCCCTTTGTGCATTCATGCTATGCAAGTGTTGCCACACAATAGTAACAAGCGACAAATTAGAGTGCACATGTAGGAACTAGGAACAATTGAAGGAGCATGGTGTAAACCTGTTTCTTAGACAGCATAGGTCCATCAGAAACACCAACTACAATTCGATCCCTTGCTAACTCAGCAGCTGCCTGCAATTAACATTCAAAGCCTCCTCACCTCAAAAGGAATTAAGCAAACCTCATCCTATGATTGTTGTGAGAGAGAGAGTGTGTGTGTGTTTGTCATGAAAAATAGATAAATGCATTTAGGCAAAAAAAACCTTAAGGAAAAGACGATGACCATCGTGCAAGCGATCAAAGGTGCCACCTAGAACAACGGCTCCATAGGAATTTGGTGGAGATATGGTTGACAAATTAGGTGCGACCTTTGGATTTGGGTCCTCCACAATTGTCATTTTATTGCAACTACTTGATATATCTGATTTGTACTCTTTCAAAAAGGTATATATGCAACGTATTGTCTTGCAACAGCCTGATCGCATTCATCAAATAAGCTACAACATTAGTATCCAATAATACAAATCACAAAAATCCCGAAAATCACATTCTCTCAGCTCAATTAACCTGAGAAAAACAACAATAGCTACTATAGGCAGTTTCAAAACATCAATTATCATCATATGCGGAAAAAATCAAGAAGAACTCGAGCAGATTTGTGTTCAATCGTGAATATTTATAATTGAACGAAATTAATCAACGCCGATGAAACTTAATTAACACAATAAAATCGTTGTCAGGCGCAAATAATGCGAATACTTGTTCTATTACTGTACGTACGGATTTGAGTACAATGAGTACAGCTAGACAAGAAATATAATATGGACCCCTACCTCTTTTTGCCCTTTCATCAAAACATTAAGCTTAAAGCATCTCAATCATGTATGATGAAAACGTAAACATAGAGTACCAAAAAAAAGCACCAGTCTAGAATGGAAACCAAATTAACACTCGCTTGAAGCTCCAAAAAATTCACAGATGAACATCACTAACTTTCACAACAACAAATTTGATTCAACGATTCCGTAAAAATCGCGACGGAGAAGGACGAAGGAGGGAACAAAAGAAGATGATCGGTACAGAGAGAAACGAACCTGGAACTGCTGGTAGATTGAGGCGGTCGAACTGCGGAGGAGATCAAAGCTACAACAATAAAAACTAATTAGTTTAAGATATTACAAATTCAAAGACGCAAAAACAAATCATACCTCTGTTATCTACACGACTGAACTGCAAAACACCTTTATGAATCTAGATTCAAGGCTGCAACCTTGAAACAAATTCAAATTCAGCTTAAAATCAAACTCGAGAGCGCAAAATAGACGAAAAAAGGCAGGAGAAGCACCAGAAAATGGAGGTGGACAGAAAATCTTCCACCGGTTTTGGTGTAATCACGCAATCACCATGGAAAATAGGGTTTGAGAGGTAACAGAGAGAATCGAAGACGGTGAATCACGCCCACCAAAGAAAGAAACATAATATATATTCGATAAAAACAGCGATCCAAAGATGACTAGAAATGTTTCCATCCATGAAAATAGAAAATTCCGTGGGGTAGAATTTATATTTTGGTCATATTTTCATATCCGACATAATTTCAGAATTCTTCTTTGATAAAAATAATTTCTTTTATACTTACGTCGACCTCCTTTTCAATATTTTTAACTTATCGAGTATTTTTTTTTTATTAACCTGGATATTCAATCTTTTATACGAGTTGAACCTCCGTAACCACAAGGAGATTTTTATTCAACTTTGGATTTGAACTTGGGATCTCCAGGTACTTTTGACCTTTGAAGTCAAGTTCAAAACAATCAGTCACCACTCTTGTGATTAACTTATGGAGTATATTTAGAAGGAAACAACTTATGTTTTTCTATAAAAGCACTTACGACTTATTATAAGTCAGAAGAGTTTATAACTTCTTCAAAAACTTCTTATTACCAGTTTGACATCGGTATAAGTTGTTTATCCAAAGTTCCAAACACTCAAAAGTGTTTATTACCGGTGTCACACCGGAATAAGTCATTAAGTTGTTTTTATAAGCAATCTCAAACACCCCCTTAACAACAAGATTGTGCTTCGGTAAGAATAAAAATTTCGCATATCTTTATCGATATTGAACTATTTCTATTTATTTAATTTTTATCATCATGACGTAACTTTAACCAATTCATACATGTAAAAGTGATTAAATGCATGTAATGGCCTGTGAAAGTGACTTAATATAAATTTAAAAATTAAGGTAGTTAAAGACAAAGGATCATGTGAGACTAGTTGGGTTATTTGTTTACCTCTTAATAGCTCCATTAAGAGACAACCTCTGAATTGTTTTAGAATTAAATCTTGTTTGACAAAAAAAAAAGTTTGTCTCTTAATGGTTCTAAAACTCTCTGAATGATTTTGTATCTCGGGTCTCCCTTAACCATTCAGCACCATATTTTCATTCTGAATAATTACCAAACAATTCTATTTCATTTTGCACTATATTAAAAGAGTTTCTTAATCATTCCGATCACATAATCATTCTACATAAAACCATCCAACAACTACCATAAAAAGGGATTTTGATCCTTGATCATTTTTTATATCAAACTAACCCATTAATGGCTTTTTAGAAGTGAATTGATCATATGTATCTCATTAGGGTTGATCTAGTGTTACTCTTTAATTAGGATTGATCTAAGGGTGGAGATCATTTCTTTCTCTTTCACCATAAATTTTATTCTCACGAGAAGCCAACCATCTAGTTGAAAGTAGGGGTGGCAAAAAATGACCCAACCCATTAACCCAACCCAAACCCAGCCCAGAGTCTTCACACGCTTCATTACTATTCAGTATCATGAGTCTCGATGTTTTGCCTTCTATTCTTCAATTTTTCCCCTTCTTTTGAGTTCTACCTTCTCCAATCAAAGATTTGGGTTGGTTTCAGACTTTCAGTTTTCGATTTGAGGTTGAGGGATTGAGGCGTTGTTGAAAGATAGCAGAGTAAGTTCTTTATGATCATGTTTGTTTAGTATTTTGTTGTTAAACTTCGTATAGATCATATGAATTTCATGTTTCTCTTTGATAATTTGTTACTTTATGACTCTATCGAACTTTAGTGATTTCTTTCAAGTTTGAATTTGTTATTTGGGTGGTGTGGCTATTTGTTTCTATCACTGTACCTATACCTCAGAGATAATTGTTATCATTCGTCTTCATTGAGATAATTATACAATCTACATATAAGTTGTTGTTTTGTACGCATGGATTACACTTGCAGATGGACTAATGGTCTTAGGATTTTAGGTACGAGAGTGAAATTGGGGTTGATGAAAGTGGAAGTCGAGTTACTTAGAGTATAAAAAATTCCAACTTATTTTGAACAATATATTTGTTGTGATTGTGTTTTATTCAAACTTTGAACAATTTGGTTGTATGTGTGGTTGTGTTATGTTTTATTYAAAAAAGTTAAATACTCTAGTTCTTTTTTTATTTAAAATTTTAAAATTAAATGGGTCAACCCAGGTTCAAACCATTTATTTTACAGGTTGGGTTAAGAAAATCGTAAACAGATCAACCTGTTGTCAACCCATTAACCCAACAGGTTGGGTTGGGTTGAAAAATCTCAACCCATTTAATTAAATGGGTTGGGTTGGGTTGAGATTTTCAACCTGTTTAATAAATGGGTTGAACCCGAACCCAACCCAACCTGACTCATTGCCACCCCTAGTTGAAAGTAGATGAATGTAGTTAAATATAAATAAAGTAGTTAGAAAATATTAAGTTAGATTAAAATAAATTGTTGGTAAGCGTTTTTTACCCGATAAAAGCTTACTGAATAAGAGTTTTCTTCCTCAATTACCAGATAAGCCTATTGGTCTTTATTATGTCTCTTACCTAATAAACGTCTTGGTCTTTACCATGTGCACTTGCTAAAGCAAGTAGAACTCGATAAATTGATTTACAATGCATATTTTGTAACGAAACAATAAGACCGTGTTTAGCAAAAAGGATTAAGGTTTTTATTTTATTTTATTTTTTTACTAAAAAGAATTAGATTTGAAGAAACATGTAAGGATCTGGACCTTTGATCACCTTTAATCTCAAACTCACACATGAATCGCGCTTGATACGAAGATTGATCTAGTGTATCTCGGTGAATCTCATGTAGGTGCATCTCATCTGAATGTGCATCTAAGGGTGGAGATCCCTTCTTATGCTTTTCACCTTAATTCTCCTTCTCACCGAAACTCAATCATATATATATATATATATATATATATATATACACACACACACACACACACACATAGGGTTTTATATCAATTTGTTACCGTTTAAACGCAACGGAAAATCAATTTTGGTTACAAAGTCTAGAAAAACTTTTTTGTAAAGATTAAAACCGAAGTCGGATACAATGAATAAAACAACACACAATAGGCTATTTTAGGGATGTACTTTTTGAGATCTAGCGAGGAATCTGATGTAGCACTTAGAACCGAACGGAGTTTTTTATACGGTTGATCAACACACGAACACACGTAGATCTTCCACCAGGTACTAGCCCAAAAGAACCATAGTTCTAATATATGTGTATTTAGATTGATAATCAAATCCAGAATTGAATCACTTAAAATTGGTTTGGTCTATTACCCTATATATATGGACCAATATTTCAGATAACCCATAAGTCAAATAAGATTTTAGTGTTTATCTGTGAATATTTATATAATTATATAAAACATTAATAATTATACATATTTACAGATAAAACCATGTAATAATCATAATCACATTTTAACACATATTTTATAATTATTCTTCAATAATAATTATTTAACTGTCAAACATGACTTTCCAGTTTACATTCAAATGGAAGCAAACGTATTCTTTATGTGTGAACATATAGGTTTACATGCTCCCCAACAGTATCCTTGTATGACAAGTGTCGTGGGCATGCATTATCCCACTTGTATACGATGCACAGTAACACAGGCAGTGGTAAACATCTAGCAACATGTCACGACCATCAAGGCTATGTTAATGTGTTTTTCTTCCCCGAGCAATCTGATTGATCCAATCAATCATATGGAGGTACCATATCTTATCATTTTTTGTTTCATGGTATTATATTTTGAACTTAAGGCATAGGTGTATCTCACTATTTATAGTTCAAAGATTATGTTTCTCGATCCTAACATTTTTTTTTGAAGTATATAATATTTATATACGGCAAATGCAACAAATAAACTCACACACCCTCGATCCTAACATATTTGATTTAGAGAGGTACTATTAGTTCAACTAGCCCACTTGTCTATGGTCATGTAAATCAAACTATGTCATCGAAGGACCCAAAAGTATCACTCCTAACTTAATTTACGTAGATGCTATCGTTTTGGCCTGTTCACCTTATTAAATTGAGTTTGACGTCTGATGATATCTTGGGAAACTGACTCAAATGACCATTTCTCACAACCAAATTGGTCTCCTTACCATTTCTCCCGGGTTTACCCAAATGTCACTACTTCTGCAATATTCAGGTCCGCAATATTAGCTAAAAGGCAAAAAAAAATCAAATTCAACACAAATCTACAATTGCGAGGCCAGGTCCGTAATTGCAACCGTAAACTGGTTGAATTTGAATTTCTTTTTGTCTTTTAACTAATATTGTGGATTTGAATATTACGAAAGTAATGACATTTGGGTAAACTCGGGATAAAAATGTTTAAGAAAACCAAATTAAATGTGAGAAATGACCATTTGAGTCAGTTTCCCTTTATAATAACATCCCAACTTCCAATGCATTCAACATTCCTATTATTTAACGGGTGCAAATAAAGAATAAAAATCATCTTTCCTAAAATCTCATGTTTCACTCATGTCCCAGTTCCACCAATGAGATTAAATCACATCAGATTTTTTATTTATTTTAAATTTATTTATTTCATTTATACATTCTCTCTTTGATTACGTGTATTAATGTGATCGGTGGAAATGAATGGAACATGAGATTTTGGGACGCTGTGATTTTTATCTGCAAATAAATGCTCCTATTTAATGCACTCATCTACAGACTTGTGATTATGTGAGACCAATGGTTTTTCGTGAGACCCGTAAGACCAATTCTCATCCCTTGGATTAGATTTACAATCGTCAGATCTGAACATTCATAAACGTTACGAGACTTCTCAATAATTACAAAATTGTCACCTTGCAACTTTAGACCATTAGATCATTAGCTTATAAAATTGATCAATGAACATAAATTGGTCTTACGGGTCTCACAAAAAACCCTTGGTCTCACATGAACCCAACCCCTCATCTACATTGCTAAGTACATCTCTATCTAATGGTTTCCTCTTTACACACATCAATATCAAAACTCACTTTTCACATTCATAATGCATGAATCGATCGACGTGATTTTAACATTAAAGGAATGCAAATAGGAATCTCCTTTGATCATTGAGAATAGCATGATTCAATCGATAACGAGATAAGTTGCATGATTTAACGTCGATCACTGTTGTTGATATGGTATGAACTTTATTGTTGTTTATGTCATGTCATACGAAAATTTGGAAATAACTTCTTAATAATAAATTGGATTTTGGTTTCCTTACAAATATAAATTATATACTATGATTATTAATAAATATACATAGAAAGAGTGGTGTTTAAAGAAAAACCTTGAAAAAAATGAAAAACTAGAAAATAATTTATCAACTCTTAGGGTCTAGGGGGTTGTTTGTTTACCTCTTAATAGTTCCATTAGGAGGCTGCATTTGAATCATTAAAAATTGAATCTTGTTTGGCAAAAAAAAAAGTATACCTCTTAATGGTTTTAAAACTCTTTGAATGATTTTGAATCTTGAGTCTCCCTTAATCATTCAGCGCTTTAATTCCATTGTAAACAATTACCGAACAATTATATTTCATTTTGCACTATATCATGAGAGTTTCTTAATCATTCTTACTTTTTAATCATTCTGCATCAAACCATTCAGCAACAGCTAAACAACTCCTTAGACTAACTGATCATGGATGTGATTACATGAACGTTTATAACAATATTTATTAAATTTAAAAAACCTCATCCCGATTTTTTATTCGAATAAAGATGAAAAATAAACAAAATTCGAACAAAATAAATTAAACAGCAAAAATGGTTGGTTGGTGAATTACATCATTCGGGTGATGAAAAGTAAAGTTGAAACAAATCTAAGGTTTGATGAATAAAGAATCAGATAACGTGATGCTTGAAAAAACACATGAGGTCATGAAGGTTCAAATGCGGTAAATCCGGATTATCTACAAAACATATGGTCGTCCTAAGATTAGTCGGCTTGCATAGCGAGTTGGATATCCATGTTAATAAAAAAAAACCACTTAGAAAACAATCTCTCTACCTCTTAAGCAGATAAATGATTTGTATTTTTAAAAAGCTACTCGAGCTCGAGCTTAATAATTCTCAAGCTCAAGTCGACCACGAACACAAAATATAACTCATTTTAACTTAATGAGCCGAGATTCATAATACCAATATTCCATTCTGCTCGTTCAAAAGCTTGATTAAAATTTTCTAGCCGAGTCAAGCTATTCGAGCATATACTTTTTCTAGCAGAACATGTTTATATGTTCATAAATCATACTATAAAAATTATCAACCTCGAAACAATAAACGAGTTAATCGATCGTAAGTTCAAGCCTATAAACAAGCACCAAGCTTGATAACTCAGGAAAATGTATTCGAGCTCGACTCCTACATTGAAAAAGTTATTCGAGCTCGAGCCTGGTATTTTCTTTTCGAATCGAGCTTGAATATCTTACTACTCTGTTCGTCTAGTTTACACTCCCTAATCTTACCTCTCAAAAACCCTATTTCTACACGATACATATTGAGTGTGTTTGGTTTGGTTTTAACTTTTAGCGATGGTTAAACTTGTAAATCGTAAGGTCAAAACCAAACCTTCTTTTCAATTTAATCAGAAGCTAGAATCAATGTTCTAAAAGGCTCATACAACCACCACCATGCCGCACCGTGGCTTAAGGCTTGTATCTCGTACCACGTTAAGCATGTGACACACCACAGTCTAATGCACGCTTTCTGTAAAGCGATATTTGATCTTTGTTACTTTTTTTATGCCTTATTTGTTAATTTTTAATATATAACCCAATTTAAATTGTTTAACATCATTGACTCATTGAATAATAGTAGAAAACATATGTTTATATCTATATAGGGGTGAATTCAAACGAGAAGCTAACCATTTTGCAAGTGAAGGCGAAAAGTTTCAATATCATATATGATTACACGCATGATACACAAGTTTAATCATATATGACTAAGCATGTGTTGCATTCAAAATATATAGACGCTTAATGTATATGATTAAACTACCAAAAAAGTGTAATTTTTAAAATAATATTGAGATTTCTCGTCTTCTCGCAAAATGTTTAACTTCTCGCATGATCCTTCCTCTATATATTATTATATTTGATATAGAGATTTGTCGTCATAAGTAACACCTTGAAAACGTCGTGGTTCCTACAGCTCGAGGCTTGGCTTTGCTGTCACGCCATGTCTCACGCCATTTAGAACCTGACTAGAATCAGAGAAAGTATGGCCTGTCCAAAACCAAATTAGTTGACCAAAAAGTGCTACCCGACTACATTGTTTTGTGTTAACCATGTGTCTCCATACCAGATTGTCTGCACCTCGACTAATCCAACGGGGACCCAAAGAACAACTACAAAAATCCATAATGGCCTTGAAGGGACTCACACCGGTGACCTACGAGTAGGATCCACAAAAGCGCAAACTTTATTGCCAGCGAGCTAACCCCTCTAAGGTTTACCTGACTACAGTTTGCCAAAACCCCATTTTGGTAACCAACTAAGATCTAACCTTTGACAGCAATCCTGCTGTTAACATTGTAATCTAGGCATGGTTAGTTGTATTCTGTTACACCTTGAGAAATAAATCAAGAAGCAATTCTAACAAGCTTTTTTTCAATATCAATGCACTAAGTTGTACAATTGCTTACCTTCAGCAGCAAAACACTGATTCAAGAAATCTTGAATTAGAGATTTGTACGTATCTGGGAATGTTCGGTAATGATCTACATGTGGGGTCGACTTGAAGTTGAATGTAGTAACTTCCCTTCCGAGTTTCTTTTGGAGGTCGGCGAATGATTCTATTTTCTGTGACGGAATCACCTTATCGGCTGTACTGTACAGGTAAAGTTGCGGATAACAAGGTTGGTTTTTTGCAAGAGTGGATGTTATTTTTGTCAATCTCCTGTGACATAAAAATCGAGATAGCATTGGTAAGAAACTAGTACTTCTGTCCTATAAACATCGCATACTTGATGTTTGTGCAAAAGGGCCCACACCGCCCTGCCACCCAAGAGCATCGTGTGAGTGAGAGAGCCAAGTTTTTTCCAAACTTGCCCCTCCCAATTAAAGAACGCGTTCCTTCCATTTATGAAAAACGCCTCCCAACAAAGACCTTCCCAATCTAAACAGACTATTTAATACACAAAGATAACTTTATCCATACAGGACTTAACGGAAACTAAACAAATAACCCCTCAGAAAATCTACCATGACCTAGAGACCGCTCGGCCAATGACCTTTTTGGTAAAATACTTCTCTATGAAAACCTTGTGGAACAAAAAAGCAACGATGTCAATGCTATTACAACCGTCAAAACTTGTCAAGAAAAAAAGGGGTGTTCGTTTTGGGAATCTCACAATAGAAATTATTGCAAGTTCTACAAGACGGAAAATAAGTAATGAGAATTGTGGAACTAAAAATGTTGTGTAATATCTAAAATACTTATCACTATTATTAGAATATGGGAATCTTGTAGGACAAAAGCAAGCAATGACATCAATATTATAGCAATGGACAAATAGGTAATTTGACCTCCGAAATTTGTCAAAAACAGTGAAGTTGCAATTTTCATGGGAAATCCCAGGCTAGAAATCATTACAAGTTCTATGGGATGGAGGGAGTAGATTGTTCTATATTAGAAACTGGGACATCGCAAGTAACAATAACAAACTCTGAAAATGTTGTGTAATTTCGAAAATACCCTTCAGCAATAACAAAAATATAGAAATCTTGTGAAAAAAAAGCACCAAAATCATTATATGACAATGAAAAGATAGGTAAATGAAAAGTTGCAAACTTTCATAACAAACTCAAGAATGGAAATTGCTGCAAGCTTCATATATATAGGATGGAATAGATTGTTCTATCTTCTATGTTCAGAAACTGGAACATTGGTATAAAAGAAAACTGTAGCCGAAAGGGTTCAAGCCTTACCAAAGGTTAGGAGTTTATATGAGTTCTTCCGTGTATAAATATTATATAAACTTGAAACAGGCACTTACTTGTTTATATCCGGGAATTCAAGCAGATAAGTGAAGAACTTCTCGAAAAATGTGAGAAGCAAGACCTCAATGAACATAGGCTCCTTCTCATATGCATTGGCATTAGTTGCTTCATTTTGTATTTCCCTGGGCTCAGAGTTAACCGCAGAGCTTTGCTTTTTAAGCATGGCTGTGGAAAATCCAGCTGCCCATACCTGAAAAGGAGTCAAGGAAGAATAATGCATCTTTTGGTCCTCATCTTAACCCCATGAAGTATTGAATTGTAAGGAAATAGCATCGAGTTCCAATATTACTCAAACCATATATAGTGTCAAGCAACACATAGATCTAGTAACCTTGAGGGACAGCTCAACTGGGAAATAAAGGCTAGGTCTTGGGACACCTCCTCATAGGTGGCCAGTCCGAGTCCCCTAAGGCCACCATCCTGATTGTTATATTGAGGGGCCCATGGGTTAGTCGAGGTGTGCACAAGCTGTCCCGAACACCCACAATCACCAAAAAAGAGTTTAAAAATTAAGGCTTATAACGATTTTCTCAAACTAGTACCCATGGGAGTGCAGGATAGCCTGATATGATCCCACACCACATCCCTATCATAATGCATCAGTCTCCTATCTGACTTTGGGGCTGTTTGGTTGGTTTTCCATTAAGTCCTGTATAGATAAAGTTGTCTGTGTGGTTTAATATGGATAGAGAAGGTTTTTGTTTGGGAGGGTTTTTTCATAGATGGAAGGAGCGTGTTTTTTAATTGGAAGAGGCAGGTTTGGAAAATTCTTGGCTTTCTACATAAAGCTCCCCCCTAAAAGCTTACTGAATAAGTCACTTCCTATATCATTAAGCCACTACCCAACAGTCACGTATAGCTGACCAAATAAGCTGTGAGTCGCATTAAGCTCACTAAGTTGCTAACAAACAAGCATTTTCTCTCTTTGTCACACTTTTCACAAGTCGGGTCTTCATGAAAACAACCATTCTACTTTGGGGTAGAGGTCAGGTCCGCATACATCTTACCCTCCCCAAACCCCACCTCCAAGTGGGATCACATACTAGCCTAGGCATGTTTGGTTTGGTTTCCTCCTACTGCATTCTTGGCAATCTTGATCAAATCAATCATAACATAGTCTAGTTCAACATTTCGATAGCCACATTATCGCATCGGATTACGAATTACGCGTATTTGTTGTTCTCCAATCAGTAGGTCTAAGTAACTTCCAGTTGTCCATTATTTTCAACAACTTGCACCAATCTTCTTTTGATGCATTTTATGTTATAAAACACAAAATTCCTGGCTGTTTGCCAAATATGTGAATCATGTATATTATCTTTCAGGCTTCTAGTCCTAACGTGGTATAACAATCAAGTAACATTTAATGATTATGGCACTGTGTGTAACAATGACAAAATAACAACGAAAATTAAAAAATCAGGTGGTAGATGGCATGCTACTTCAAAAGATTAAAGTGTGTACTCATTCTCAAGGGTTCACATAGTGAATGCAATATTTGTTGATGGGAATTACAAACTATAAATTAAAACAAATAGTCAATAGATGTAGACCAGCTAAGTCCTTCAACACCTTGCTTCACCCAACTCATAAAAAATAAAATGTAAACCAAATCAAACCAAACGAGCACAGTATATCCCACCCCCAGGTGGGATGAAAATGTATTGTGTACGTTGTATGAACTGTACCCCCAAAGAGTAGAGCGGTTGCTTCTGTAAAGATCTCCGACTTGTGCAAAGTGTGCGAAAAAGGATAAAGCTTGCTCCAAAAAAATTGCGAAAATAGACAATAAGAAGAGCATACGAAAAAGAACATGAAAACAAGAAATACAATGCTAAATTTTGAAAAATTATACTCTGCAATGAAGAACAATACTATGCAGTGATTGTTCTAAGAGATAACTAGTCCTAGAAAAACTTTAATATGGTTTTAGTCATTATCAGCGAACGAATTACAGTGTGACTCATGATTACACCGTTTTATAGTTATCATATTTCAGAAATAACATGCAGTACATAATTTACCTGTCCCATATTGAATGTGAAGTGTGAGCTTCTTGGTTATTATATGAACGTGTACAAATAAATACAAAGAAAATGTACTCTGCATCTATAAAGTTTACAACAAATTAAAAAAATGGAAGTCTTAAGTTTTTGAACATAGAAATATCAGTAGCATGAATCATGATCACATAACTCAGACAAAAAGATTCACAATTGACATCAACTTCGACCATCAAAAATTACACAAACGAAAAGATAAAAACCTTAGGATCAAGCTCCGGGTCTCCTCCTGAATCAACAACACACCCTTTGATCTTCTCCAGCAGGTCTGGTCTACCCTGCAATCTGTTCAAAATAGAACCGTAGCTGCAAATACAAATTACAAAATACATAAGAACAAGTAAACACCACTGTAAATACAACATAAGTAATCGATCATACAATCATGTAAATTTGTAAAGCTCGCATATACATACATATCTAGAGGAAAGTTCATTTAGAAACCATAAATATTTTGAAAACCAAGAAACCATTCATAACGAATATCATGATATTCATTATGAATATTTGACTCAAAAACTATTTACTGTTGTCATCATATGCATATAATGATTGTCTATAAGACAATTGTACAGAAAGGGCATTTGATCCAAGCATTGGTTACAGTAAATAAGGGAGTGGTCTCAGTTGATCATAATCAAACTTAACAAAATTTCAAGAAATTTGTTGAAGAAACCAATGAATTAACCTACGCAAGCCAACCAGTATTACTGAATGTATGAAAGATCAAGAATCGTTTCCTCCCATCTTTCTCCTTCTCCTCCAGCCATGAAACAAGCTCATCCGTCAATGCTGCAATCCTTGTCTCTAATTTCCTCCCCAAATCGAAACCAAGAACATCGAAAACCGAAGCAGGAAAGGTAACTGCATCCATACCAAAGAGGTTATAGAGCTCTGCATACCTCCTCAAGTGTTTCTGCTTGGACCCTAGCCAACCTAACAACACCACCGTCGCAATCGGCCGCTTATCCTCGGGAACAAACCCTAATTCTCCGCCGTTAACCCCATCGAGAGCAAACTTCCATTCAAAAGACTTGTCGTTGTGGCCCGATAGAATCCGAGCAAAACGATGGCTGGATAGTGGAGTATTAAGACTGGATTGGAAGGAGGGTGTAGTGAAGAGCGAGGGGTTCGATTTGGGGACGTGAGAATTAGGGTTTGAGAAGGAGAGGGTAGCAAGTGGGGTGTGTTGAGAGATGGGCAAGAAGAGGGTTGGTGATGGATGGCATTTAGAAAGAAGAAGTGTATTGAGGAAGTGGCGATTGGTGCATTTCATGAATGATCTGCTTACTGAAGCTTCCATGGCGGAAAATTGGAATTCAGAGCAATGATGAAATGGGATTCAATCAAGAAGCCAATGCGGAGAAATTGATTGGATTCATCAAGCTTTTCGACTGCTACAACTTTGAACAAGCTCACTCGTCAAATTCCTACAATCTTGATCAAAAAAACACCTACATTGGCATTACCGATTTGACTTTTTTAGAACACCATTTTTTTCTTAATTTTAAATCAATATTTCAGTTTCTAGAGCAAAACAGAAAATTAGATTAAAGAACGGTTATTTAAACATTTATATGATAAATATTTATTGATAAAAATTTAACACTATCATTTATTTGTTGGGTAAAATTTTAATCTATCAAAAAGATATCGTATCCAACAATTATTTGGTAAATGTTAAACGTGGTATGAGTTATCTTCTTCACTTATTGGGTAATACTCTCGGTCTTTGTCTTAGCTCTTACCAGGTAAGATTATTGGTTTTTTACCATGTTCATCATGTAAGATAATGTGACTTGGTAAACACTTATTTGAGTAAGTGCTTAGCAAAATTCAACATTATCACTTTCTTATCTGGTAAATTTTTAGTTTACCAAAATTGTATCGTATGCAACAATTTACTCGGTAAGCGCTACTTATGGTAAGAGTCGTCGCTCTCACTTACCGGGTAAAACTCTCGGTCCTTACCTTTGTTTTTACCAAGTAACTTTTTTTTGGCTCTTGTCACATTCATCCAGTAAGGTAATGTAACTTGATAAACGCATACCCGAGTAAACGTTTAAAAAACAACCTCTTAGCCATAGTTTATGCAAATTCCTAACACATTTGCCTGAACTCGATATTCATATTAGAAAAATAAAAGAAAAAAAATCACGTAAATTTGCGTAAGGATTCAAATTTTGCGTAAGGATTGCATTTGCATAAAGAATTTTTTTTATTTGAAAATAGCTTTGCGCAAATACGTATTTGCACAAACTCTAGCTAAAATAGGAATTCAGTTCTAAAAATGGCTAAAAAGTAAAGTTGGTTAGGGAAATCCAAAGCCATTTGGTTAGAATGGGTTATTCGAATATGTTTTTTATACCTTTAGGTGTGCCCGCCGCAATCACCTAAATTTTGGATTTGCTGTTGTCAAGTGACCCAACAACGTCTGATACCCACCATGGCCACACAGTTCAGTTCTTGTAATTAACCTCTTACGTTTGTTAGAAAACTCGTTTTTCTAACTCGTTTGAACCCAAAACAAAGTCAAATCTATATACAAATTGGAAACACGTGTTGTGGCCTTGTGTAATAGAAAGTAAGATATTCGTTTTTCATATATCATATGAAACGAAGTGCAGGTGAATAAGAATTTGATCTCCAAAATAATGCAGCTAAAGTGAATGTTTGGTTATGAAAACCCAAAATAATTGGTTTACATGTGATTTAACAAAGCTATATATACTCAATTTTGTCTTTAGTAGGTTCATCTACAACATCTGGTGGTGCCCTCGTGGGGTAGAGATGGTGATTTGCCCCGACCCGGTGGGGAACCCGGTTCACCCGACCTGAACGAGAACGGGGATTCCTCGCTAAAACGGGTCCCAGGGCCGGGGATCCTCGGTAGACTCAAATCGGGGCCGGGGATCCCCGGTAGTATCAAACTAAATGATACTTTTTATAGGGTTTGATCGGGGATTGCTAGAATTTGATCGGGGACGGGATGATAATCCTCATACCCGCCGGGGACCGGGGCCGGGGCCGGGGGACGTTATTACAAGCCGGGGCCGGGGATTACAAAACCCTCCCCATCCCCGCCCCGTTCCCATGCCTACTCGTGGGCATGTTCCTCTCTGGGTCGGTCTGGTCTAATYGAAGTCAACTGACTCACATGGAATACGGGGTGAGTTTTCACCGAGCTCGTCGCTTGAGTCTATAGGCTACCTCTTCTATCTGCTTTTCTACAAGGTTGACTTTCTTCTTCCTTCAGACCGGGCCAAGCCTTTAGGTTGTTTAAGTAGGTTTGGGCTAGATCGTTGCGCTCCTGCCACCTCTTGGCAAAGTAGGTTGCTGGGAAAGTCCCCTCCTGTCGCAATGGTGTGGGTTCCATTCAACTGCTACTAAATCACTTCCCTTCAAGTTAAACTGGTGTTTGTTGTTGCATCAGAAGCCATTGCATTATGTGCTAAAAGTGCGACGGTTAGAAGAATTAAATCACTATGACCATTCACACACACGGAATGTAGATCTTGAACCTGAAGTTTATTAAGAACGTACTCTTAAAAGTGAGTGAAAAAAGTATTTTATATATTTAAAATAATAAAAAAGAAATTTAATAGTTAATCATTGAATCATATATTTCAAATTCATATGGATGCTATTAATAACAATAACCAAATACATATCCAATAAATGCTATAAATTCGTAAAAATCAGTTCAAATCATTTAACGAGTTTGATTTTAAGTCTTGATTAGTATTGTTTCATAACTGCGTTCTTGTGTTTGTATATAAGCATAAAGCATGAATGTTTGTATTTCATATATTAAGTATAAGAACTTATATTTTGATCCTGAAAAGTTATTATCATTGAAAAACATTCTAGTAACTATTTATCTGTATGGTATGCACATGTGAATAAACGTAATTTATCTGATATGCACATGTATATAGAAACCATGGAACATTTTCAGTTCCTTATATGTCATGTACATATTATACAAATGAATGATTATTAGGGCATTTATGGATTTTTTTCTCCAAACTCACTCTGTGTAAATAACTATACATAGGGATGTTCAAACGAGAATGATAACCAAATAAATGAACACAAAAATGATTAAATCACGTATGATTGATGGTGACTCGCGACCACAGGTCGTGGCCAAGGTCGTATGACACACATGTAATGTTACTGTAATGTAAAATCATTTGTAATTCGATTGTATTTTCATTCTCTTAATTGGTTATTGATGTCGTGTAAATGTTACTATGGGGTTGTTTGTTTATCTTTTAGTAGTTCCATTAAGAGGCAACATCTGAATCGTTAAGAGGTGAATCTTGTTTGTCAAAAAAAAAGTCTACCTTTTAATGGTTCTAAAACCCTCTAAATGATTTTGTATCTTGGATCCTCTTAACCATTAAGAGCCATCATTTCATTGTACACAATTACCAAACAATTATATATCATTTTGCATTATATTTCTGACCACTTAATCATTTTACACCAAATCATTTAGCAATTACCAAACAGCCCATGTGTTATGTAATCTCTACGTATGTATATATTTTGTATATTTAGCACCAACATGAAGTTTCAAAACGATATTTAAACCTGAAATTTCAGGGGGAAAGGAAGTAACTTGGCCTGGGGTCAGCCACAGCCTCAAAGCTTCACTTCAGCCACTCAAATCAAACCCTCCAAATCTCTGAATTCAAAACTACTCGTCACCAGCAAATTTGCCATTTTTGTTATCTCCATGAACACACCAACGGATTAAACTCTGTAGCTACGTGTTCTCCTTCACCATTTTAGCCGATTCAATGTCGTCTTCATGTGCTACGGTGCCGCATCCAGTAACAACGGACTGGTCCGCCGCTAACAATTTCAATTCTACCATGAGAATTCATCCTTATAGTAAGCTTTCTATCCAATTCCAACTCTAATTTATATTACGTTGATGATCCTTATAGTAAGCTTTCGATCCAATTTCAACTCGTTACCGGCTAATAAGTTATATTACGTTGTTAATTGACTGTCGTTTGGGTGTGGTAGGAAATAGATGCGGTTTGAGTAGGAGAGATCTCGCAACGAAAGGAATTGTTGCAGCTGGAGCTTCAGTGATCCCATCTAATTTGGTATCTCCACCTGCTCAAGGTTGGTTTCTGTTGATTTAGGGTTTTAATTTTGTTATCCAACTGCCAAAGAAAATTGTTAGATAAAACTGATGAAGTATTTCTGGAGCCACAAGGCCAAATGTTGATCCATTATATTCTTTTCATCCTGATGTAGCTTTGTATTAAGCAAAATGTTATTGGGCATTTCAATAGGTTTAGAGAGATTACCTTTCAAGAAAGATGGATATAAATTCTGGACATGGAGAGGTCACAAAATTCATTATGTTGAAGAAGGAGAAGGCTTTCCGATAGTTCTTATACATGGTTTTGGTGCTTCAGCTTTCCATTGGAGGTCCCTTTCTATTATGCTATTTTGGATTCTCATATCCTTTTATTATTGTTTGAATTTGTCCTTTCTATTAGGTGGGGGAGCCTTAGCCCATGTTTGGGAACCATAAGCTACCTGAATTTTGAGTTTGAAAAATCCCCATTAGTTAGTCATAAGCTACTTCAAGTAGTGTTTCAATGAGCCTCACGGGCCTTTTTCCACTTCTTTTAAGTCATTTTACATTGTCATCTAGCTTATTTGCTAGTTTTTACTAAACGTGACTCGTTTATCAACTCACAACTAATTTATCAACTAACTAGTTTATTACAAACTAGCATATTAGCTAGTTTGGCCAAACATAGCCAGAGTTAGAGCAACTTGTAAGGTCACTATTCAAGTCGGCAATGCTTCTTTATAAAACGCAAGGCAAAGACTGCTCTTCCCTACCCTTGTAAAGCACATGAGTATTTTGTGGCACCCATTGTTGGAATTTGTGGATAAGATCTAAGGTCGCGATTGATGTACTCCCATTTTTTGATAACTGTGATGTAGTGATCTTTCTGTATATCTATATGCAATATAGGACATATGATGCGATTCAAGGAAAAATTTCTGATTTTTCGTTACATCTATAGGTACAATATACCTGAATTGGCTAAAAAGTATAAGGTTTATGCTGTGGACTTGCTTGGGTTTGGGTGGAGTGAGAAGGCACTCGTCGAATATGATGCATTGGTGTGGAGAGATCAAGTTGCTGATTTCTTGAAGGAGATAGTGAAAGAACCAACAATATTGGTTGGAAATAGGTAAACATCTGCTGTTTGATAGAAGTTCCATTATTCCATGATAAGTTGAACCTTCCATATAGATTGAATTTTTTTCTGCTTTAATTTCTGTACATGTGATTCGCTTAACACAATGATATATTCATTTTCTCTGTGCATATTGTTACTCCTCCATCCTGAAATAAATGTATTCTTTAGTGGAATAAATTGTTTTTATGAAAGTGTTGACTATTGGTCAAATATCTCAACTATCTGTAAATAGAACTTGTGAACCAAGATTGCTATGAATATGCTATCAATATTTTGTAACAACTATTATGACCAAGGAAGTACTTTTGTATTTGAACTTCTCAAAGAGGGAAATTGTGCATCTGTTTTGGGACCTAGTGTGTGTGTGTGTGTGTATACATAATAGCTAAAAAAAGCCCAGCCTTTTTAATCATGCCCTAGAAAAACATTTTTTCCCCAAATCTGTGGCTCACAGTTGTGCTTTCTATTTGTTTTACTTGCCCTTTTCGTAAGTGGAAGGTCTTATCAGACATAGACTTGAGACAAAGGGAAGGTTTGTGTACATCTTACCCCGTTACCCTACCTTTGGGTGGGATATACCAATTTTGATTGGTCTGATTTGGTTTAAGTTGAGCTTGATGATATGATTGATCCTGTGAATCTTTCAGATTATATATATTCCCGTTTCTTTGATATCTTTTCATCTGGAGTGACGTGTAAAGATATTTTTTCTAATTTGGTATCCATAAGTACGTTAGATGATCTTTTGTTTCTCTTTTTCCTTCGTGTATTTCAGTGCTCGTCTATACATATTGATATTATTATCAAATTTAGCGGATCTTTGTTCCTTGCCACTGACATTTCATTGATGTATAAATTGGAAACTTTCAGCCTTGGAGGATTTACTGCTTTGGTGGCAGCTGAAGCAATGCCAAAGCAAGTTGTCGGCATTGCATTACTGAACTCTGCAGGACAATTTGGAAGCCCAGATGATTCAACCACCGAGACTGAAGAATCCCCCCTGCAGAAATTCTTCATAAAGCCATTGAAGGAAGTTTTCCAGCGCGTAGTTCTTGGATTCTTATTTTGGCAAGCCAAGCAACCAGCTCGCGTTGAATCCGTCTTGAAGAGTGTATGTCAAACTATTTTTATACTACTTATTTAGTTTCAATTTTGATACTTCCTCCAACCCAAAATAAATGTCCATGATGAAATGACATAATTTTGAAGATATGTAATTATTTAACTTTTTAATTAACTGAATGACAAATTTTCCCTTAATAATAGAGGAAGTAATGAATTTCTCCATCTTATTGTTAAGGGTATAATTGGAAACTAGGCCAAATGGATGATTATTTTGGTACAAACTAAAATCGAAATGTAGACACTTATTATGGGACGGAGGAAGTTATTATTAGTGTTATTATGAAAACTATATGTTATACTCCCTCCCTTGTTAAGTCTTGCTTTACAATTTTTCTTCAGTCCAATAAAGATTATTAACATGTATGCCTTCCATTCCATCAAAATTGCAAACACATAGTTTAACCAAATTGTTTGAAATATTTGTGAAATATCTAAAAAACCCTTTAATGGAAACACAATAGAGGAATCTTGTGGAACTGAAATCAAGACTATCAGTATATTTGTAGTAATGGCAAATGGTAAATAGCTAATTTTAAAGATTGCAATTTTCATTGGACATTTAAAAAACGGATGTACTCCAATTTTCGTGGAACCACGAAAATTATAAACATTGATGGCCCTACATTGCCCTTTGTTTTTCAAAGATTGGATAAATAGTCATTTACTTTCTTTATGTTATAGGATTGCTTGATTTTCTTAGCTATTTTGACATGTAAAAAGATTTTATTTTGCACGGAAACAAGCTCTCTACAGTCTACTCTATGTGGGATTTATTGGATTCGTTTGATTTTGTAAGAAGATGATGTTATACAATGAATGTCTTTGTTTAATTACGAGTTTAATGAAGAAAACTTGATCTAAATTTTCAGGTATATAAAAATACTGCAAATGTAGATGATTATCTCATTGAATCAATTACCAGACCAGCAGATGATCCAAATGCTGGAGAAGTCTATTACAGGTACTCCACATGGGTTAGAACTATAGTTTTTTCTTCTTTTTCTAGATAAAGACTCGAAAACAGTCTCTCTACCCCAAAAAGGTATGCCTATTTCCTACTTCCGTGTGGGATTTTACTGAGTTTGGTTTTTACTCGGCAACCACGCTTGAGTGGTGAAAATCTTGATGCCCACCAATTGATCACTCCAAACCATAGTTTTCGTGAGGTCATTTGGATAAATAACCAAAAATGAGGTTTCAATTAGGAGCATGACCTAATTTTTTTAAGCTCAATGACCTTCAACTGAAGACGACCTGCCCCTGGTTTAAAACCAGGACAGTATACGCTCTCATAAAAACTTAGAAATACAGTAAAAGGTTAGATTCTTAAGTTCAGTTTTTGAGGTGGTCATTCAACTGAATAGCCCGCTTTGGTGCTTCAGGCTATATGCATGCAATAATATAATCAAACATCAAAATGTCATCAAGTTCTTTCTGCATACCATTTTATGATTATTTATGTCATCTAATTTTCAGGTTAATGACACGATTCATGTCGAATCAAAGAAAATACACTCTTGATAGTGTGCTGAGCAAACTGTCTTGCCCGTTGTTGTTAGTGTGGGGAGATTTAGACCCATGGGTGGGCCCTGCAAAGGCGATGCGCATCAAAGAGTTCTACCCAAACACATCTATTGTAAACCTACAGGCAGGGCATTGTCCCCATGATGAAGTTCCCGAGCTTGTCAACAAGGCCTTGGTAGATTGGCTATCGACTCTACCATCCGCATCCACAGTTCCCCAAACCGTATAAACATTTAGACACGAAACTTGTAAGTATATATATATGTAACCCTGTATATTCATTGATCATATAATTTGATGAAATATTATGAAAACTTCAATCTGTTGATAAGGGTATGTTTAGTTGGTTAAGAAAATGTATACCCTTTAAAAGTTGATGGAAGGTTGGAATAGTATCCTCAAGGGGTCGTAATGTTGTAGGATAATGTAAAAGGTGTGTGATACGGTGTTCGATACCATATGATGTAAAACGGTATCGAGGTTCTAAATGATGTGAGGCATGACGTGGTTGCTAGGTCAAGCCTTACGAGTTATAGTGAGGCCGTGATGTTTTTCAAGGTGTGCCCTAAGTCCTAGGTGTCGTATATGTTTATCATTTATCCTTCAAGTTTTATGTTTAAACAGTAAAGAAAAAGCATGTCTTACTAAATAATGCACGCCATAACGTGTTATAACGGAAGCCGAGCCTTAGAGTGGAGTCCATGATTAACACTCTTCATAATAAAAAATGATAAATCAACCTCTCATAATCACAAAAAAATGAACAAAATGAAAAATTATGATTGTTTGAATGAGGTTTGTACGGTTTGTACAAATAACGTGGTTTGCAAAGTAAACCTCCTATATATATATATATATATATATATACTAGAAGAGTACTCGCGCAATGCAGCGAGATACATCGTGTTTTTAATATTTTATTTTATTCTTTATCTCAGTCGATGTTATAATATGACTTTATGTGATTTTAAGAAAGCGATGATGTTTTTATTTTTGAAT